GCTTATAAAAAATAAGATGGAGTAATATGCATTTGGTTATAATTGTATCTACGAATGATGCATCCATAACGAATGCTTAAGTTATGGTTATAAGATAGGTCGCCAGATTTTTAGTAAGTTTATCAAACATTAACTTTTAATTTAACCACCCTGTATTCCACGACATGTACAACCCATCAAAAACCCCAAACTGAAACCCTGTTAAATACATAAAAGTGGACGATTTCTGGTTGTGTTTTTTGTTGGTCCTCGGCAAATTTCTTGTCTGGTAAGTTGACTTTTGCCAAAAAGTATAAAAAATTACTAAAAATACTGCGCGAAAAACCACAAATGAAAGAAGCCCGCAAATATCAAGAGAAACTTGATCAAGAGTTAAGAGGTCGGCCGAAAGTTGCCCATCTGACTTAGCCGAGCATCTTACTCCTCTATAAAGAGGAGTGTGAAAATTAACAGCTGATCGTAGATACGGATAACGCCAAGGGATCCATTTAAGAATTGATATGATCTGGTGGGGATGAAGTCTAGAAGAAACTGAATTAAATACAGGTGAAATCAAAAACAAAATTTAACTATTGATATTGTAAGTAAATTGCTTACTATTATTAGATTGCTCACCAATAAAAATGACATTATACATTTTTTTAAATTACTAAAATGCTTGTGCTTTCTACAATATAACGAAAAATGAAATAAATGAAGTTTAATAATAAAAATAATAACAATATTTGATTAAAATTGTAAATAATAATAATAATAATAATTAATAATAACATGTTTCTAAATATTTTCTGTAAAACACTCGAGACTTTTTTAAAATTGGCTGGTATTATTCTAAGAATTGTGCCTGACATCTGTTTCGAGGAATTTTCAAATCCCCATAAGATCAAAACCTATCAGATAGTCTTTGTTCCCAGCATAAACTATTCCAATGTCTAAATCCCGGTACGGATCATCCCTCGTTCCTGGCAAGTCCTCACTTATTTCAAAGACCCAACCTAAACCTACTCATTTCACACAAACGCTACTGAGAACCCACGTACAGCACGCAATCAACTGTAGCGCAATGGCCACGCAACAACCAGCAAAGAATAAAAAAATCACTTTTATGGCAAAGATCAAACTGGCAGAAAAACAACAGCGACGACGAAAAATACGTTACCAAGGTAGGCCGACGACGATCACTTCAACTGACGATGTTGCCTTTGCACTGAAAACAATATAATTTCTTAATATTAATTGCCAACATTTTGACAGGTTGTTTTATGGAGACTCAAATTTTGTAGGCCCTTGTGACGTCTTTTTGTAGAATACCAAACATAAATTTGCAGTTTTAATTTACCAAGTGGGTGTTAATTTCATAGCAAATTTGTTTCCAGTGTACTGCTGCTGCGTGGCAGCGACAACAACACCAACGTTAACATCAACAACAGCGACAGCGAACAGCAAAGAAATGGCCGTTAAAGTTGCCAGGCAAATGGCAAAAGTCAGAGGCGTAGCTCGTTCCAGGGTTTGCCCCACTGTTCCAGAAGAAAAGACGCGGCTTAGCTCCCCTTTCGAACGATACGTGAGCAGTTTCCTTGGCACGTTTTTCGGTTTTTTCTCCTTGTTTAATTTTATTTTTTCTTGATTTCTTCATGTATTTTTTGGCGTGGCCGACGACGCCCGTTTGCCATCATAAAAGAAGTCAATTGAATTTAAATTTAAAGTACATAATGGCCAAGTGAAGGAGGTGAGTTGCCTGAACAGAAGGGGGCGGGGGTGGAGAGTGGTGAAGGCAACGCTGCCGCCTTTCGAATTTCACAAAGTCATCAGTGTGGTTTTTGTTGCTGGGGTTGGCTTTTTGCTGTTGGGGCCTCAAACTCTTTGTTGTTGTAGTCTGTGTGGGATTGAAGACTATGTATAGACATATACATATTGATATAGGTATATGTATTCCATGTACAAGGCCCGCAGGCACGCAAGGCTTTTGGCTTTTAAGCGAGAGATATATCCATGTGTAGTTGTGCCCGTTGCTCTTTTGATTTAAACGTGCTTAAATTTAAAGATCAAATTGCCCATGTTTCGTTTATTTTTTTGATTTTGGGGGCTTTTTCGGGGGTGGGCTTTTTATCGGTAGGCCCAAGAATTTTAAATCGTAGACAAGCCAAACCGCAATAACCAGGCAGAAATTGTATAGAAATAAGCAAACGTTGCAGTGACTCAGAGATTGAAATGTCGTTTTTTGTTGGCGGATATGGTTAGCAATTTATTTAGAAAGCCAGAGAGTCGAGTGCCCCCACAGATTCAGAGGCTGACACACATTTTTCAGCTTTATTCACATTTCGCCCACCGCTCGGATAATTTCGCTGGAAAAGATGATTAAGTGATTAGGGGCTTTTGCGGCTGACTAGCATTCAAAAACGAAAGACTTAGGCAACGAACTTGCCCATAACCTATTGACATTATGACGCGGCAAGGAGAAGGTTGTCCCATTCGCACCCATCTCCCTCTCTGTCTTTCACTTGCATCTCGCTTGCTTCGGTTTGGAAATTTGCATTGTTTGCCAACGTTGCGACCTCCCGATTTGTCTGCCTGCCAAGCAAACGTGAGATGAGTTGGGGTTTGCTCATTTACCGCCTTTCTGCCTCCGCCGCTGGGAACGTGCAGAGAAAATATTTGACTTTTTTGCGCACACAGTTATGGATATATAAATATGTCAAAAGTTTTGTTTGCCTTTCTGTCGCAGGTATTGTGGGAAAGTGTGAGGTTCTGGGCCCGAAGCTCTCTGACGACGGTTTGCGAGAGATCTTATCGGCGGATGGGTAATTAATTGTTTAGGGGCTCGCTTGGTATCGTATTTGGAAATTAACAGTATTAGAAGAGATCTAAAGAGTAGAGAGACTAAGTTATATTTCGAACTTGTTGAGTGCAAACCATAATCTAATAAAGGAATCTGTATTAGTTATATTTATTACAAAAAGAACTAGCACTGAAGTAAAAGTACCTGGTTATGTTCCTTAGGAGCTCAAACTAGTTCCCCAACGTTGAAGCAGAATCCATTCACTTCGGGCTCTATCGGTTTCCAGATCATTTTACAATTCAAAAACCTAGCCTAGCCATTGTCCGCGATCTCCAAATGACCAGGGTAATAAGCATAATCCAATGGAAACCAGTTGGCCCAACTAGCGGAGCCAAGCCCCTGGGGTGGCAGCCGTTTACCCCTCTAACACTGTACGCATAGCCAATGGCCCCGGCCGTATTTACCCTCTCCGACCGAAGACCCTATTGATCTGGAGCCAGAACTAATAAAACTCATTAAACCAAACATGTTTGGACCCAGACAAAGGCCTCTGTCTATGCCTATTTGAATAATCTCCTACACAGCATTATATACTATCTCCAAACCGAATGGGGAATGGGTAGAGTCAATAATCTGATTTAGGAGGCGAACGAGAACGCGGACGAGAGCGACGTTCAATTAAAAGCAAAACTCAAATTAATGAAATAAAAATACAAAATAAAAATAAATTAACCAAAGCCTGAACTCGAACCCAAACCTGAGCCGAACACGAAAGAAAGCGACCGCGCGGCAAAACCCACCAAACCAGCAGCCTCTGAAAAGAGAGAATCAAAATGATAACTTTTCAGTTCGGAGCGAAACTGTACCCCCCTGTTCGGCATCGGCATCGGCATTATAATGATCACCGAGATCATGATGATGCTGCGTGGAAGAGGAAGAGCCGAAGAGCAAAGCGTACGGGCCAAAAACAGAACACAAAAGGTGGCTGTGGCTGGAACCCGAACTTCCACCGGCAAACGGCCAAGATCGATACAATTTTCGAGCACCATTCGGGTTTTCGGGCATTAAAAAGTCAGAGAACAGTAACAATGCGGAGTCACAGATACAAAGATACCCATATACTCGGCTATATGGCTACATGGCGGGGGACCGAAGCAAAGTCACCTTTTTGGTTATACGGGGGGAGACAAAAGACGTGGAATGGGAACAAGATCATTGCATTTTTGCTGGCTGCTGTAGCTGCTGTTTTTCTTTTTGTTGCAGCCTCGAAGCCAGTTTCGCCCCGGCTTGGTAACAAGTTTGACTGAAAAATTCTAAAAATAATGCCGGCCGGTTTGTCGTTTCAAAAAATCAAAAACAAAAAAAGGGAACACAAAAAGAAAGAGTGGGTCCAACTCTAAAGAGGTTGCATCTGTACGTAAGTGTGAGTAAGGGGTGGGTAAAAAATAACCAAAAAGGGTAACATCTCAAAGGAGGGACAAAGGCAGCACAGGGCAGAGTAGCTTCCAAGAGCCAAGTCATTCGATTCGGCTTCCAGGCAGCTGCAATCGGTCCAGGGATGGACACAAATAATTAAACATTTAATAACTAGGTATTTAATTTACTTTAATTCACAACTTTTTGTATTTAATTTAATTTAAATTTAATTTACTTTAATTCACAACTAGAATTATTACTATCCAACTGTTCGAAATTGAACATCTTTGTAAGTTTACTCAATCATCTTGTCGCTGAACAATATATTTTTCGAAATTTTGGTTACAATTTTAAAAAAAACACACATTTATCTGTTAGCGACAATATATTTGTTAACTAAAATCTGAACAAAATTTAGGCGATCGAAATCATAGTTTTCCCGGAAAACAAGATATATAGATATTCGCATTTAAAAGTAGTACCCTATTAATAGCTACAAGTCTTAAAACAGTAAACTAAAATAATATTTAAAAAAAAATATTTTTTTATACGTACAATATCTTTGAGACTTATTAATTTAAAGATTCCATAACACAAGCCTACAATTTGGTTGGTTTCAAATCGTTCACTGAACTTTAAAATGGTTTTTGTGACACCGATATCTGCTTCTTGGGGAAAATTTGGTTAGAAGAGATGTATGTTTTAATGTAAAGCAAATGGTAATCTAAAAGAAAATACTTAAATTATTCCAGTTACATTGATTTTTTATGGACTTGCATCCCTGGTGATGTTTAATGTTGCTTTTTGGACCTTTAGAGCCGCACCAATCTTGGGTTCAATCCCTGTCCGGTCCAGTCAGGTTGGCGTTGGTCCCGAGTCCCTAAAGCCTGGGCCCTGATGATCATGACGCTGCTAAATGTGGCCGGTGGTGCCCAGCATGGGGCAAGACAGCCAGTTTGTGGTGCTGTTCCCTCATCTCTTAACGTTTGTTTGCAACAAGTAACGCGCTTCTGCATCTGTATCTGTGGAGGTATCTGTATCTGCGACAGTGTTTGCCGGCCCAAAGAGTTGGTTACCTGGGCGTTCTACCTGCGCACAGGTAGGCGTATGCATGTACCCGAACATGTGTGTCTGTGCCCATATCCTTCGTCTTTGGCCGTGGATGCAGCAGCCAGCGGTCAGCAGAGGCAACACAGCATCGGCAGCAGACCATCATTATGTCCAGGTATACATTATATACTCTTTATATAAGGGACAGCAGATTGTGATTGTGTCTCCTGGCATGACTTGGCAACTTGCTTTTGGTTATGGGGTAGCTAGGCGTTGGGCTCTTCTGCCTTTGCTTAATGGTTTTAGGAAATCGAAAATTAAATAATTTATCTCGATTTTATGACGTTACAAGCAGGTTTTTATACCTTTCTTTCCCAACCAGCACGCGATAAATCTTCGGCTTACAATCAGAAGAAATGATGCAAGAACAAAAAGCCCACATACCCAGTGCGATGCCGTCCAGTCGTCGGTAATTTGAATAGCTGCAGTTCTAATGCCATAAAAAAGCGATGCTGCCAGTGGCCCCTGACCCTTGTCGTAATGAAAATCCCCAAGTGAATCAACCGTGGAGGGGATCTATTTTTAAAAACCCCATCTTGACTTGCTCATTATTTTCCCCTTTTTTTGGCTGGTCATCGCTCTCAAGAGGTTCGTTCGCGTCGAGATTGATTCGAATGAAAGGTGCAGAGAAAGTGGTAAAGAGGCAGTGGACTTGGACCAAGTGGTTGTCACTGGGCCTTCGTCTATACACAGAAATAAATCAAGGTTTATTTCTTTGACTTATGGCTATATTATTGGAAATCTGCAATGTTTTTTATTTATTCCAAATAGAAAATTGTTACAGCAAAAAAATTTTGAATGGATTTTAAGAATATTTTCAGTACTGCAAGATTCGAAGACTGCAATGGTCAATATTAAATGGGTTTAAAAGATAATCCCATTTCTAAAATTATGTTTTTTAATAAATTTAAAAAAAGTGTGTCATTGAATTTTTGGTTTAAGCTCTCAGAGGTTATTATAATTTTGATCAGATTTATTTATTGTATCCTAGCGTTACAAGTTTTTGAAACTTATGACTTAATACGCTAGTCACTACGTGTTGATAATTATAGATAATTTATAGCTGACAATATTTCTTAAAAATACTACATAGTTTTTTACAACTAAACTTAACTAAACTTATCTTTAATTTTTAGAGTTATTTAGTTTTAGAAATTCTTTTAATTTAATTTTAACTTGATTAGCACTTTTTATTGATTTGAGAACATGAGGCAGTTCGTTCCACAGGCGCACAGCATTGATGTAGAATTGTCTCTAAGAACACAGTAATCTTGTTCTCGGATGAATTAAATTATTAGTTCGATTTGATTGGGCATGCACAAGTTTGTCAGCGAGGTAAGTTGGTTCATTTGTCATTATATTCTTATGAACGAAAATTAGAGCTCTAAAATCTATCCATTGCTCTAACTTGGGGTCAAACATTATTGATCAGCTCACCAGTAACGATAAGATAAGATAGTCGGCTGTCCCGACTATCGATGAAGCAAGCTTGCGCATTGCTAGATCGACTAGGATAGCGAACCTGATCAAGAATATATATACTTTATAGGGTTGGAAACACATACTTTTACACGAATACTATATACCCTTTCACTCTACGAGTACCGGGTATAATTAGACTCCATCGCATCAGACGACAATATTATACCTGCGATAGGGACAAACTAGTGAAATGAGGGTAAGCATTGTTTATTTTAAGAGTAATAATATTTGATCCAAGAAATTGGAGATGCCAATATGTTTTTATTTGTGTATTGATTTGCTGATGGAGGACGAATAGCGACTTGTCGCTATGGTCGCTCGCATCGTTAGGTATTATTGGCAGCTAGAACAGTTTAATAGTGACTAAGATACACTCAGAAAAAAAATCGCCCTAAATTTTAGAAAATCGCCATACTTTGAAAATCGCCTTGAAATTCAGAAAATATTTCTATTTTTCAGAAATATTTTTCTAAATAATAAGAAAAACTTACCCTGATTAGATCAACTCCTCTTGTTATCCACTTTTAGAAAAATTTTCTGTTATTCAGAAATTTTTCTTTCAAACTAAGAAAAAATCGCCTTACATTTTAGAAAATTGGCCCAATCGGTAGCCTAGGGGTCTAATGCGAGCGGATTATTTGTTTTCTACGCTTATATTCGGAAGCGTGTGTTCGATCCCACGTCGAGGCGGACAGTTTTTGCGTCTTTTTTTTTTTTTTGCGCATTAAAATGTATACTTTAATACAAATAAGGATTTAGGTAAGCTAACACACACATAATGGATAAATAAGAGTATAAACCTAGAACCCAAGAGAACAGAATGAGAATGTACTTTGTACAGCGCCTCTCGTGATGCTTCCCCGGCGCAGCTAGTAGAGTGTTTGACTGCAAACTGTGAGGTAAGGGGTTCGAATCCCGCGAGCGACCAAAATGTTTTCCTCAAGATAGTAAGTTATTTGATTTTTATGTTTATCATTAATAAATAATATAATAATTTCAGTAATTATTTCAGTTACAATTAAAGATTAAAAGTGTGTTTGTGTACAAGCATCGTGACGTCATCCATGTGTTTAAATTGAGGAGAGAAAAATAAGTTGAAAAACGAGAACCCCAACAACAACACCCCACACCGACAGACTCCACCCAGTCGGCATAACTCCCGATTCCCCGATTTTTTTTTTCTTCTTCTTATTCAATTTTGCAAAAACTAACCCTAAATTTAAGAAATTTTTTTTCTAATTTTTAGAAATATTTTTTCTAAAAGGCAAGGCGAGCTGCCTTTGGCTTAAAAAGTATGGCGATTTTCTAAAATTCAGGGCGATTTTTTTTCTGAGTGTACTTTCTTTCTGTTCCCTTTGAAGTGATTTTCATGGGTATAACCTGCGCGACTTGGAAATACCAATTAAACTTAGCTTGAGCTTATTCAACTGCCACTTGTCTTTGCTTTAAATTTCATAGTTGCACGTTTTCCTGAATAATCAACAAAGTCAATTTAGCGAACGCATTAACATGCATAAATTGTATATAGTTTGGAATATAGCAAGGTTTTTAAAAAACTCTTTCTGCAAAAATTATATATAGTTTGAAATATATCAAGGTTTAAGTTAAGGTTTAGAAGATTTAAGGATTTCCTTTAAATTTTAACCACAACTTTTCTTTTGTAAAAAAAACTGAATTGCGTTCGTTGATTTGATATTAAGAAACTCGTTGCATCAGTTTTTTGACAGATATGAATGTGGATGAGAACTGCAATTGACTCTTTTCTTGATCTTAGAAACTCAAGGGTTATTTATTTATTATTGGGCCTAGAAATTTGTATCACCATACTATTCTTTTTATTTATGATAACACTATGGTACATCTAAAATTTATGCTACAAATTATGTCGTTATGTTTCTCAGAACTTCTTGGAGAGAGCAGTTTAATTTGGAAATTCCTAACGAATTCCAAATCTATCGCCTCCATCGAGGTAAAGTTAAAAAGCAAGAATTTTGTAACACAGTGTAATGAATAATAGTCACTTTGTATGAAACCTATAAGAGGGTATTATAATATCAGAAGTTTTTTAACACAGTGAAATAGACTTTTTCGATCGATTATAACACAGGCCAATAGTGTTTTTGGTGCAGCCCTATGGGCATTTAATTGTGTTAATATAGACGGATATAAGCATATCTGCATACTTAGTTTTGGAGTTTAACGGGTGGTATTTGTGCAATCGCGGTTTGAAAAAAGTAGCAACATTTAATTTTTTGATTTAGAATATCTTTTAGGGTCTGTGCTCAGTTGTAATAAAACCTATGGCAAAAAATTGCTTAGATGCCCTTTTATATAATTGCATTTAAGGTTCCATCGAAATTTAATTTAATTAAAGCCTATGAGCCATTGAAGTAAGTTGTTCACCTCTATTCACAACCAACTTAGTGCGGTGAACAGGCTTACAAAAATACAAGGAAAAATATGTGCTCTAAAATATTTGACAGACATCTAGAGGCGTCTTTTCCCGAATTTTTAAGAAAAATACCACTATTGTACTTCGAAGGATGGAATTTTTACAAAAAAAAATTTATACAAAAAAAGTTGTAAGTCAATCGGACAAAAACTTTAGAAGTTATGCTAAAACTAGTACCCTAACCTCCAAGACTTTAGGTGCGTTTTTCTCGAAACCACGTTTTGAAAGTCCGTGTTCATCGGCATTTCTAAACGGCTTAAATGACCGTTTTTAAATTTGTCGCATATTTTTCTGCATAAAAAAAACCCGCCCCCTATGAAGCATTTTTTTTTATTTTTTAACTTTAAACATTTTATTTTTAAGCTGAAAGTCAAATTTTTTATGTGAAAAACGCATTTTTAACTTTGGACTATCAAAAAAAATTCTTAAAAATAAAAAATTTAAAAAAGGTCTTCATAGGGGGCGGGTTTTTTTTTAACTCTTAAGCGAAATGTAAAAACAAAATGGAAATCCGATCATTTTTAACGGAGGTACAGTGAACACCGCAAAACGCCTTTTTTAATAGTGTTCCAGCAATCGCATTGCCATCGCTGAGATCTCGAAAACCAGAATGTTGGGACTAATCACAAATATTCTTGGGCTTCTTACGAGCGCAAGTTTGTTTCATCTGAGCGCCACGCCCACAGTCGCTTAAAATGACTTTTAAATAATCCTGTTGCCCACATCTTTACAGATTTTGTAAAAGTTTAAATGCCATTTTGTTGTGGTTATTAAGACATATCGAAATGGAGAAAAAAATTTTATAATAGACAATCCATTAAAAAATTACTAGCAAGAAATAAAATGGCCGCTAGATGGAGCCAGTAGCATATCTTCATCCCTCGAACTCCCTTATCTTATTGTTCCATTCTCCAGTTAAAAATGTAATTAAAATCACAATAAATATACGTTAATTCTAGGTTTATTTGGCTTAATCTGAAAGAAAATAAACTTAAGAAAATCTCTAGTATCATCTTCTTTTTAGTAGAGCACCACCTCCTCGATTCCATACCATGTGGTGGAGTAAATGGGCTTCATCTGACGCTGCTCCACAATATTCGTGAGCTGCGGCAGTAAATTAGCTAAATCGAATAAACTATCCTCGTAAAAGGAGAGGAGATTGGCCCACTTGTAGAGCGTTTCGAGCAGCGCCTCGTCCTTGGAAATGCTCAGCAGGGTGAAGTGCGAGGTCAAGAGGCAGCCGAACCATCGTAGGGCCTGAACTTCCGTTTGAACCAGCGAGGAATCCCGGTTGGGTCGTTCCTCTAGCTGCGCACTCGGATCATTGACCAGTGCGAACAGGTGGTTCATCAAATGTTGGACATGGGAGAGCTCCAGGCGCTGACGAAGATGATCCTCGATGCCGCTTGGATCAAAACTGCAGGCCAGCACTGCATTCAGCAACTCGACATTGGACTGATTTTTCTTTACGGGCTCGTCTTTCGCATCGCCATTAAGAAGAGGGCGATTTGTGCTTTTATCTAAGGCAAATCGCAGCGACCAGGCTAGCATTCTCTCAGATATATTGCTGTAACGGCGCAGGCACATGAGGACATGTTCGGTGTTCTCGGTCTTGATAAAAAGTGTGAGAATTTTCTCTATAATCTCCTCCTCGCCCGCTCCACTTCTTTCCAGTTGCCGAACCAAGGCGTGTACAGCTATGTTATTTGGTCCCGCATCGAAGAAGTTCGTCATTAAAGTGACGCTCACGTCTTCCAATCCGTTCTCGCAAGTGGTCGTCTCTCCGTGGACATGTTGCTTGATGATTTCATCCATCTCTAGATCCACAAGCTCAGGGGGGTCGTAGGCCAACTCCCTGCCGTCTGCCTTTTGGAATTCCAACGTGGGCAGCTGTTTATTTAACTTTGATTTTACGGCCGTATAATTGAAGGACTTTGCGCAGCCATCGAACTTGATCACAGACTCCAGGTACTCCTCCTCGTTTATGTGATCCAGTTCAATGGGGGAAAGGTGAGTGTCACTAAACTGGGAGCCCAGCATATCGACCAAAACCTCTCGGTTCATTCGGTACCGCACGGCGGCAATATTCTGACCCATGGCTAGCAGGATGTGCTCATCGCCGGCCCAAAGGCGAGAGAAGTCCAGGTACACTTTGAAGTACTGCTTGGCATTGACCACCTTGAACTGAGTGTTGTAAACCAACAGCGAGGCGCCCTCCTGTCCGTAGTTGGCGCCGTAGATAGCAGCAAAGTTTCGCGAGACCCCATGCACAGTCAGCTTGCTCTCCACGTTCAGCTCCGCCAGCATGGACACGAATTGTCCGGGTGATCGCTCCGAAGTGCGCTCCGCCAGATTCAGCATAAAGATGCGCTTGTCGGACCCTAGAAAATAGAGAATGTTATGAGTTTTAGCTTATAGTTATACTTTTTATAAACAAAGTGAATCATTGGGGCTGTAAAGTGTCTACTTGATAATTAAAAGTAAGAATTCTAAAAATAATCCTTGCTATCTTAAGGGGGAAAATACATATAGAAAACAAAAAAAATCTAATTTTTTTTTATTATTTAAATTGGTAGTATAACTCTTTAAGAATGTGTCATGAAAGTTTCACGAAGAAATTCCAACTGTTTTGGAACTTATACCAGGATGACGGCACCCATCTTCCTTGTGCAGTAGATATATTTTATAACTTTAAATGCGTTTTTCGCGAAACCATGTTTTCCTCAGCTGCGGATCGTGTATCTCAAAAAGTAATGCTTCGATCATCATGCTGCTTTTACAGAAATGTTGTACTTTATGTAGAAATTTTAACGTTGAAGTATTTTTTGTAAAGCAAATACAACAAGAAATATATGAAAAAAATTGATTTTTGACTTTGAAAGAGTGCCACAAACAGAGTTTTTGAATATTCTATGTAAGTTAGGTTCAGACAGTTTCTAGATTATTTCATAACAAAATAAATTTGGTTTCATAAAAATCGGATCTACACAGTGACCTGTGGACGATCCGCAGCTGGCCTACTTTTTTTTTAAAAAGGCCTGACAAAAAAATTCTTACGGGCGCCATTTTAAAAGATAAAAAAAATATTAAAATTGGTTTAAATTATATAAGAACTATGTAATCAACATGCCAAGTTGCGAAATTCCAGCACAAACTCTTATTGGTTAAAACAAATCACGAAAAACTTTACAAATTTGCAGTTCTACGTTTCGACTGCAAGGGTAATCTGTTTGATTGGCATTAAAGTGAATTCAAAAGAGAAAATCTTGCTAAAGCTTAATCCCAAACCTGTACTCTTTCAGGAATCTATTATGGGTATTACTCACAAATGGTCAGTAATTGGGGAGCTGCATCGCCTTCCACGACGGCATATCCTGTTAAGCGGACATCCTCCCGTTTTATGAGGTACACCCGCCGATTGGAGGTTGTCAAGGAAAGCCGGATGAGTTGAAGTTCGCCAGTGGCTTTCGTTTCCTCGAAGTAAGTGAGCACCTGCTGACCCTGGGCCAAGGTGAAAACAGAGGGCTTGCTGATGACCTTGCTGTTGGCAAGGGTAAGTTGCTCAGCCGTGTCCTCCTTCTGTTCCTTGCGAGAGGCTATCGCCTGTGTGAGGGTTTGGCAATTTCCATCGCTGTAGAGAATCAAGGCCTCCTGGTTGGTTTCCACCAAATGGGCAATGCTTTTCTGGAACTGGAGCGGCGAAAGGGTATTAACTAGCATAGTTAGGCCAATTCTGAGTCCTTACCTTCAGCTTCTTGCACTTGGCCACATCACTGGTGTCCACATCCCATAGACGCAGCGAGTGGTTTCCGAAGACGCCCACATATTTCTGGCTGCTGGGGTCGTAGATAACCTTGGAGGATAGCTTTTCCGGCAGGGACCAACTGAGCAACTGCTTTTGTGTGATGATCTGCAAGGAAGGGGGATTGTTGTACAAAACTACATTTTTCTGGTCCCAAAACTTACATTCAAAACAACCACCACATTGCGCGCCAGTGTGGTCACCACATTTCCCTTCTCCCTGTCCGCAGCCAGGCCCAGAAACTCCTTGGGGTCCGGTATAGGAAACAAATTGTAATAAGAGAGGAACTTGGACATTATTTAAGCAGAATAAAAACAATTCCACACGTGCAAAGTGTTGACGTTATTTATCGATGTGCTATCGCAACTTGGCGATGCATCGATTGCTTAGTAAATACATCCTCCTTACTTAGCGGGGACAACCTCCTTATACAAATGATATGATGTGTCGCTGTTATGGAATTTGGTCGCTGTTGCAGAAAAACCCTGTGTCTGTTCAGGTATAAGAAATAATATATATATTCCCTAATTTAATTTGTAAATAAATAATACTGTAGTATAAATAAATAAGTTGAAAACTGTTGTTTTCAACAATTCAACGCCTCAAAGTTGTTGAATGACAATAATAGTATAGAACAGCTGATAAACATGTGATTAAGATTAGACGATTCAGCAATTTAAGGAAATATCGTGTGTAAGAAAACATATGTATCCAGACAGTTATTAGGATACAAAATCATTTTTGCATCGTATATATTGGGACGGTTATTTATGAAACTTTGAATGAACGAAAAATGATTTTAGCCATTTTTAACTTATAAGCAATCAGCCTTTGGGCAGTGGAATCACCCGCATTCGAAATGTTTATACATGTTGCAATGGAATCGGGCTATAAAATAACATCATAGAAGTTTCAACGAAAAGGGTTGCCGGACCTGCCACGTGCTATCGATAAGAAGAAGAGCCAGAAATGGGTGGAAAGACAAAACAAGCGCCGCGCACGAAAAATAATGCAAAGGTAAGGCGTAGTTCAGCATAATTATAGCATTTACCTGTGTAATCATGACCCCACCCCTAGCCCTCAAGCAGCAGTCGCACCGCCGAGCTGCTGGGCAGTTCCACGCCCATTTTCGTGGGCTTCTCGGCGCAGTCGGATGGCGGAGGCCTAGTGCCATTTGCTCCGGGATTCGTCAGCGCCGAGCAAATGCCGGATAGCTTCGACGCGGCCATCAGTCCGCAGACGCAGATTATCCTGCGCAAGTTGTCCAAGAAAGACCCCATGACCAAGAAGAAGGCGCTGCAGGAGCTGCACGAGTTGATCGAACAGTCGGATGTGGAGGCCCTGAAGAATATCCTTCCGCTGTGGCCCAAGTACTACCTGAACCTGGCCAGCGATCCTGAGCACAACGTCCGGGAGCTGACGCAGACAGTGCTGCAGTTGCTCATGGCCAAGTGCAAGAAGGCGATGGCCCCGTACCTAAAGCTGCTCGTCCCCGTTTGGCTCGGCAGTCGCTTTGATACCTACGCACCGGCGGCCAGCATTGCCGGGCAATCTTTTCGCGACACCTTCGCAGGCAACGCAAATCGCACCAGGGAGGTGTGCCTGCACTGTCAGATGGAGATTCTGGAGTATGCCACCCGCAACCTGACCTTCCACACAGCCGCCACCCTGTCGATCGGTAAAAGTCTCACTCCGGAGGAGGCGGAACAGAAGTACCAGCGCGTGGTGATCAGCAGCCTCAAGTTGTTGTCGTTCTTCATGGAGCAAACTGCGCAGGCGGGGGAGATCAGCCAGGTGAAGCAGGGTTTCGTCACCCTGGTGACGCACCAGAAGTTTTGGAGCTTCGCCAAGCACAAAGTGCCGCCCATAAAGTGAGTACAGTTGAAAGCTGTAAATCATATTCGCATCTATTGGCTAACGATTGATTTTGTGCTTAAAGGGCGGCCTGGTTTGAGTGCATCTATCACATTCTGCAGTCAACTGCCCTTTTAGAGGTAATCTCGCCTCAGAAGGCGCAATTGACGACCCTGTGCTTCCAGTTTATAGACGACGCTGATCCTGTGGTGGCTCCACATATTTGGGGATGTGTTTTGCTCATACAAAGCAACTACGAGGATTGGTAAGCTTATAGCGCTTCAATATTATTGATCAAGCTTAACTATTTAAATCTGGCAGGTTTGTTCCGCTTAACATTCGAAAGGCTCTCGTTCCCAAACTTTCCTCCCTTCTCCGCAACGGTTTCAATCGCAACGCCCAGGCCATCTGCCCCAACTTACTCCCATTCCTTTCTAAAATTACACCAGCTTCCCTCCAAGACCTGGATATCTACGATTTCTATCAGCGCTTTTTCGAGGACATGAAGGTGGCAGTCACGGAAAAATTCGATCCCCCGCTACCGAAATCCGATTGTACTGTAATTCACAATGCCTATTTCGAGTGTCTGCGTTTCCTGTTGCAGCAGATAAACAACAACAAAGAGCGAGAGCAGAAGGAGCAGGAATTCGGAACTAAATTGCTTCAAAGCAACGTACTCGAACCCATTGGCTGGCTGCTGAAGAGCGATAGTGCCCACGTGAAGATCTTCTTCCAACACAGTTCTGCCCTGGTGGCCTTTTGGGATCGGCAGATTAACAATAGATTGGATAATGGTGGCCTGTATGCCAAGTTGCTGAGTCAGTTCTGGACAAGCATTTTTGAGCTGGTCACCCAGGATCTGGCTGCCGAGGAGGTGAATGAACAGCTGCTCTCACATGTCCTGCTTTTAGTTCAGGATCTGCATATGGCTAACCCTAGCCTGGAGACCCAGAGTGTGAAGTTTGTTGAGCAGCAAGATGGAAAGGTGGAGAAAAGCGAGCCCACTACGCCAGTTAAAAAGGCTCAGGAAGCTGCGGCTTTCATACAAAAGGAGCTGAAACAGTTGGTTGTGAAGTTAGTGAGAATCTGTCTTGATAAGGCTAAAAGCAGTGGGAGTGGAAGTTCATCCTCGCGGTACATTGAGCAAATTCGCACCCTCACCAAAATGTTTAACGATGCAGCGTTCTACAAAAGTCTAACTGATGTCGGAGATTTGGAAGGAGCTCTCAACAAATTGGTTTCATTGTTGGGACAACTGGAAGATGACGCTTGCGAGTCTGTGGTGGAGATCGTGTTTGAGATTTTGCCGTTGGTTGGGTCGGAGAAACGTTTTGAATATATTGAAAATACTCTCTTAAAGGTAAGTGGCATTTTTAAAAATGTAAAAACATTCTAAGTTTTAAATTCTCCCGCAGCTCTCACAACACCGCGTGCAGAACCTTTTGCTTCACCGTCTACTATCTTATCCGTTGTGCACCGAGCCCCCCGTGCGGCAGATGCTCAGTGGTCCAGAAACGTGCGCCGTGATTGCACGGATTGCAGAGGAGGTTGTGGTGGACAATGATCGGGAAAAGCTGAACCTGCTTCACAAGTGCTTTTTCCAAACGGACACGGGGGACATACTTATTAATGCTGAGACTGTGGATAAAATACTGCTGGCCATGTCCGGGCCCCTGGGGCAGCCGGTTGTTAATGACATGGTGGAAGTGTGTGGCAGCTTTATTGCCCAGATAATGCCTGTGATTTGCAGCAACGACAACTCTTCGTTGCGCGTGCGCCAACAGATCTTCCTTAACTTGTTCAAATTTAGTTTGGAGCATCGGCCGGAGGATTATTTGTCGGAGGATACTCTGTGGGAAATTACGACCTGCTGGCAGGACGCACTTTCTAGTAAAGACATTGAGATCAATGATGACATGCTGAAGAGTTGTGCGGAAATTGTTGAGAACTTGGCAAATTCAGTGGAACTGAAGGCGGATAATTTGGACGGGATGGCAGAGGCAATGGCAAAGTTTGTCATTTGCTCCACGGAAAATATTGAGGACGAGAAAAGGCGCTTGGAGCGCATTGATCAAACTATAGCGGCTATTCTGGAATCCCCGCTAAAAACATTCGAAAAGATTCAGCAGTTTGAGAATCATTGCGTGCTTCTGGAAGCCTTGCACGGATCTGTCAGTGCGGGAATTCCCTTCGAAAGCGCGTCCATGGCCAAGGATAAAATATTACCATTACTTCAACGTTCCACCCTTAACTTTTCAACCATATACAAACTTGTTTATCAATTCCCTCCAACACAAGACACAAACGATCCCGAAGATGAATTGACCGAAGATTACTGTGATCCAAATGCCGACGTGCTTAAAATTTGGAACGAACCCTTGATTGGTGAACTTTTACAGTGCATTCGAGTCGCTGGGACCGCGGAGTGTTGGCTGGAAGTGTCAGAGCTGCAATCGTCGTCGGAAGAATTAGTGCTGATCCTATCGGAGAAGGTTCAAAGCTTTATGGGCAATAGCAGTGATCTGGTTGGAATAGTCAAGGAGCGTCTTCAGCAGGATGCAGTGCAGCAGTCCAGCGTAATCGGATGTCGTCTACTGAGTTACTTTATATTCTGTCCTCAGTATGCGGCTTTCGAAGAAAGTGCGTCCATATTGCTGCACGAAGATCTCTCCGAATCTTTGGTGACGCAAGGAGCCCTCAAGACCTACGTAATGGCACTACAGGTAAGCATTTAGTAAAGAGAATCCGAGCAAAATAAACCCCTTTGTCTTGCAGTTTCTGCTGCCGAAGCTTTCTCAAAAAGCAATCACTCTTAATTCGGCCATAATGAGAACGGAACCACCTGAGATTTGGGTGAAGGCAGCTGTTTTCCATGCCCTACTGTTAAACAATTTTGAAGCCGAGGTGAATGAACAAACAGATCGCAATATAATTGCATCAGCCGTGCAGTTTATGACTAGCATAGGGGAAAAGCAAGCCAGCCAAAAGGATTTACTTCATTACAATGTGTAAGTCAATAGATTTCTTTAAATTCTTAGTTTCGTTTTGATCTCTAAGCGTACCAAATGTATTTTAGGGAAATACAAAAGCAACCCTATGAAGCCGTTCTAAACACAGTAGAGTTTATAAAACTTCTAACTCAAGTTTTGAAACGGTTTCCCTACGAGCTGAGCATAAAGAACTGGGATGCAATTCGAATTGGTCTTAGCTCTTGGATTCTGTCTGTTTCTAAATCCATAGCTCATTTCAATGATCCAAAGGTTAGTTTTGTAAACAATATTTTTTCGGAATTTATAAACAAGTATATTTTTACTTGCAGACTTCGCTTTTTGTTGTGGCTGTTTATCAATTGTTTGCCTCCTTGGTAGAATTTATACGCTCCGAGAAGCAGAAGAGTTCGACGGAGTTGCTCAAGAACATGATTGATGAATGGGACTCACTGTTTGCCAAGGAAGTAAATGTAGTGCTCTTTAAGTCATTTTATCAGTTAACCCACGAGGCGACTGTGGAGCCAGGGTTTCAAGCGTGCTATGAAACCTTGCTGGAACGTCTAGCGCCGACTCTAGAGCTCATTGATTACAGTTTTGTTTATTCGGTAATTATATGGGACAGATTATGAAAAGGCCCTAGAAACCAACAACCATTTAACATTTCAGTTCTGCAAGATGAATAGTAACATCAGCTTGGACCACCTGTGTAATTTCCTGTTCAAGCAGCTCTACAGTACTCAGCACTCAATTCGATTGAGTGCTGTAAATTCTCTCCGCCAATTAACACCACATTTCGTGGCCGACGACATAGAGTTGAATGAGAAGCAGAGCGAAAGTCTGGACGCCGCAACCACGATCTCCAAATGGCACTTCCTCAATCGTTTTGAGGACTACCTGACTCGCTACGACACCCTGATCCGAAAATACCTGGAAGAGTTCACCTTCAAGCTGGCAGAGTTGGAAGATCTCGAACCCATAAACAGACACGATGCACTAAGCTACCTCTTCTTATGGGACTGTATCATAAATGCTTGCGCTAAATCGCCGGTTGCATTGCGAGCTGTCTACACCAATTGGCTGAATGATAACAAATATGAAGAGGTGGGAAAACAATACAACAAATTTACTTTCGATTTGGGGTATTCACTTCAAATTTTCTTCCACGCCTTGCAGAATTTCCTACATTTCCTCTTTCGCGCAATGCCAGTGGACATACTTAAGAATCACGGGGCCAAGGTGCACAGCAACGGCGTTTACAAGGAGTTGACTTGGGCTCAGCTGAAGGGTAAGATGTGCCTAAATTAAGCTATTATCGTTTCCTCCGACAAATCGGTATTGAGAACGTCGGGTAAATAGTCTTCCCCATATCCGTAGTCGTCATATTCAGCGGCTCCTTGCTCAACATCCTCCATCATTTCCTCTGCGCCTGGTTCATCGGATAGGGAAATGAAGTCCGACAAGGGCACAAACTGTTCGGGATCGTTCTCTGCCATCATCTGTCGTTGAACAGGTATCTGTTGCGGCGCCAAGTAAATGTTCAAGTTCGATATGAACTTGTTGATCCAAACGGTCAGGTTATTGGCCAGTATTCGCTGATATTCGCGAAGATTACTGGTGGTGTAAAACTCTTGATCTGTTGAAGGTTTGAGTTAATTCACAGAAAAATTTTTCGGAATCAGCTAGATAACTTGGGTAGCACTTACCTGTAAACTCTCGAAGTCTCTCAAGAATTACACAACATAGTGGCGAGTTTTCGTCCACAATGAACTGATCGTTGAGTAGAAAGTCCTTCATTTCCTCAAACAGGACGCAAATGATTTTCTGCATCTGCTTGCGCTGGCGCAATAGGATCCGCTTCTTGAGACCTTTGCACCGTCGCTTGTGGACGCGCTTTGCAGCCCTTCGCTGACGCATCTCTTCCTCCATGTACTCCAGCGCCTTCTCCATTGTCATGGCCTCCACCGGCGGCTTGGGTTTCATCTGGTTCTCCAGAGCGGCTATGTGGCGAGGCGAGAGGTACTCCTTGAAGAAATTGTAGGTGTCACTCACTCGCATCGGATGGGGATCGGCCAGGCGCTCCACACGGGCTGTGCATTGGTTCACGAAGATCTTCTTGGTGTAGTAGCGCGACTGCTTGGCCAACTGGGGAGAGGAAAAGTCCTTTTTGGGCGTAGCCAGAAAACATATGTGCTCCTCCCGGGACAACACATCTCGGTCGATAATGATCTGTCCGGTGTGCTGACAGGGCACATAGCAAGGATGGTATCGAGGACACACGCAGATGAACCTGTAGGTCAATGTATAGATAAATCAAATGTCTGAATAATTCAAAGTACTTGGAGTATTATTTTGTTGTCAAATCTTAAATGGCAAAATTTAAAAACAAAAATTCAACAATCAGAGTTGCTTAAAAAACCGATTATCTTATATTTTATGTAAGCTTTCCGGGCGGATTGAACGCTTAGCGATTTCTGTTACACTGCCAAGTAACCTTCTGCTATAACTTACAGGGCGTAGTATCCCCAGAAGAGTATAACATATCATAGTTTAGGTATTAGTTGGTGTAAAATCTCTACTTACCTGTACAGTGCCTGAGTCTCGTTGGCGGGATACTTGACTAGTCGTCGGATGCGTTTGGCACGAGCCTCACGCACATGGACCATTGCTAGGCGGGCGTTGAGCTCGTCCGCCACGGTGGGTCCCTCTTGAAGGGGGTCCTCTGCCGTGTGCTCCTTGCGTGTGTCGCACTGCGTCTTGAGGAAGTTTATGGCTTCGGCTACCGTAACCTCGCCCTCAAGCTGTATGCGCTTGGGGGGAGGCATCTCGGAGGGCACGTCCTTGAAATTTATTGGCTTGGCCATACTTTCGAATAAAACGGAAATCCAAAAAGAATGAAAACTGTTTTATACACTGAACGAGAGCAGACGATGTAGCTAAGGGAACTGTTCTCTATATACGCATTGTTTGACTTCTCACAGCCTGGCTTGCCTTGATCAACACATTTTTATTCCATTTTACAGATCGTCAGCTGCCCCTGGATCGATATGTCTGCCATCTGTACACGGAGGTGCTACGAAAGCTGCCGGCGGTGGTGCGAAAATGGTGGAACGCAACCCAGTCCAGGCAAAAGAACTTTGTGGACAACCTCACAACCAACTACGTGAGCTCGCTGATTTGCAGCGAGGAGCTTAAGGCGATCGCCAATCGCAAGGAGAAGCACGAGAATATGCAGGTGAGCGGGCTAAGACAGTCAGAGTATTAGTCTTGGTGTTGAGTGCTAAGGCGCAGGGAAAAAACCACGATGATGCTAATCAGAAGTATAATAATGACAATAACGCGGAAGATCTCAAGAGTCACCATGTCTCCTTTAAAAAGGATATTTTCTTCCGCTTTGTAAATTCCTTTAGGCAGAAAATACTCTGGGCTAGCACTGTATCCTAAAGAAGCACAGACTACTGGACTTGTAGTTTAACCGATTCATTTGAGTAATTTATGTATCATTTACCTATTTTTAGGTCACTGTTCACTCTTCCACACGCGAAGTGCTGGCGGTCTATGCCATCGATGAGGCCCGCATGGAACTGGTCATAACACTGGCCCCTAATTACCCGCTGGGAGCTGTAAAAGTCGAGTGCGGCAAGCAAATTGGTGGACGGGCTTCCTCTCGAAATGTGGGGATGCAATTGACCATTTTCTTGACACACCAGGTATTTAATCATGAATGTAATATGTTGTAATATGTGCAAAATAAAAATATGGGCACTTCCAAAAAAAAGTCCACCAAGCCAAAAACCTTGAAACTTGAATAAAACATATTTCCACATGATTTTGCCCCGATATTAGTTTCTAATTAGTTGGATACTGCGCTTAACTACAAATTTGGAGTACAGTTTGATTATTTTTATGACAAACCCCACCAATATACGCAAAAATCACTTTTTGGCTATTTTTTTGTTATTTTTTGGACCTATATTCTGTTGTAAATTTATCCTATAGAAATGCTAATATGTGACATTTTTCTGTACTAAATGCTTCATTCACATGCTAAACTATTAAGTTAAAAGCAAAACATCCAGCAATTGAGGGATAGAGGTAAAGAAATCCGCTTTACAAAACAGTCGGAAAAAATGTCCCGAGCGACATGTCCCGAGCGAATGTGGTTGAAACTGCATAAAAAAAAACGGCAAAGAATTTTTGAGTAAAACCAAAAGCATTTCACAGCGACATGTTTGAACGACATTCTTAAAAAAATCGCATTCAAATATTCCATCAGAATTAGCTAATTTCTGGTGTTGTATGAACTTCCCCGAAATCCACTTCTATTTTTGTCCCGAGCGAATACGGCAGTTTTTTACCGATATCTTAAAAACTAAAAGTGGTACAAAATCAAGATTTTTACCAAAAATAGAGCTTGGGAAGAGTGAAAGGAAAAGCCCATAATTAAAATTAAAATCCATTGTTTTATAATTTTTTTTCAACTTTAAAGGTGTGCAAATGTCCCGAGCGACATTTTGGAAGTGCCCATATATAATTCTTTTGAATATAAAGCAGTTTCTAAAACCATTTCAAAGTTTATAACATTAATGAAATGTCTTTGTTGCAGAATGGAACCATTTACGATGGCCTGACCATGTGGAAGAACAATCTAGACAAAAAGTTCGAGGGCGTAGAAGAGTGCTATGTCTGCTATACCGTTATCCATCAGGACACTTGTCAGCTGCCCAAGCTGACGTGCAAAACCTGCAAGAAGAAATTCCATGGACCTTGTTTGGTAAAACTCCTTTAAACCGCTTTATTTTCTGTCGGAACTAACACTAATCATTCTTCCAGTATAAATGGTTCACCACAAGTAGCAAGTCCACCTGTCCCATTTGCCGCAACGTCTTCTAGATATGTGTATAAACAAAATCATTAGTTGAAAACATGTATTAAGCAAAACGCAAAACCAAACCCTTCGATGTAGGCATTAGTTTTTGGTCTCTCAAATTGTAAATCGGCAATAATAATAAATTCGTACATGTTTTATTGTTCTATATGAGATGTTAAGAGCAGAGATTGAATTTATTTAATTGTAATAAGATGTCAGTAAAATTATTAAACAAAGATCAAGGGTGCTTGTGTGAAAAAGTTCATCTATCACTTCAGTGCTTATTTAGAGCTACACAGTTAATACTCGTACCTCAACAACATTATTTTGAATTATGGCGGCAAGAATAGAAGTCAAAGGCATATGTCCATACTGCGATCGTTATGTGTCCAGAGACCTTAGACCTATTAACATGCTGTCGGCACGTGATGCCAAAAGGATTTCTCAACTGATAAACGAAGAACCGCCTCTGGTTCAGTTGGAGTACGAGAAAGAAGGGAATACAGATTCTAGATGCAAAAAAACGCGAGTCTCGAAGAGGAAGAGAGAAACTCTAGAGAACTCGGAATCCGAGGACAACATGAAAAAAGAACCAAGTTCACAGGATGAATTGGACAATCATAGTTCTCAGGAAATATTCGAAGATCATAGTTCACAGTCGGGAACGAGCTCAGCAGAGGACGTTAAATCAGAAAACTCTCTCGACGCCATAACTAAAGGTATTTTAGATTTGGTCGAGGAGGAGTTTGAGCGTGATCCGGCGAGCAATGAATCGTCTGGGAGTTTAAGAGGGAATGCTGAAGTAATCATGGCTATGTTGACAGAGGAGCAGCTTATTATCGACAAGATAGAGGAGCAGGCCAGTCAGCGGGGTACTAAAGAGCCGCCAACTAAACGGCGGCGGTGTTAAATGCTAGAAAAATTAAATTAAATTACTTGTCTTTGCAAAATCCTCAGTCAAATCGTTGGGCCGCCCACGTGCTGACCTTTACAGACAGTACACAACCCACCAGAAATAAGCCTCCCCTCTTGCGCTTGCGCCTTGGAGAACCAACTTCCTTGGGGTGGGGCCGTCACCACATGATGACTCGCTTTCGCATCGGTTTTGCTCAGTAGTGCAGTTTTGCAAGCTGCTAACTGGGATTACACACGCCATCGACTCATCCGACTGGACTACCAGGTCCACAAGATGACGTAAGCCCAATGCTTATACGATGAGCCCCCGGGAACTGAAACTTGGCCACCGCGTTGAGGTAACGGGTAAAAATCTGCAGGGCAAGGTTGCCTATGTGGGACGCACTACTTTCGCCGCCGGACTCTGGTACGGCGTGGTTCTGGACGAGCCGCTGGGCAAAAACAATGGAAGTGTCCACGGCAGCATTTACTTCAAGTGTCCCACAAATTGCGGACTCTTCGTGCGTGCCCAGCAGCTGGTGAGGATTGCCGATTTGCCGCAGGGAGTGGATAATCGAAAAACCGATGAAATGCAACGTGACGGGGCGAGAGCGAAACTTTCACGGCGGAGTGGCGTGGCAAAGTCGGTGGACGAGCAGGTGAGTAATGCTTTCGGGGGTTTAAAGCGGATGTAAAAGTAGAGCTGTTTCCTGTAGGATAACCAGAGGGAGCTGGCGGCCAGCACATCGGGCAAGGCTAAGGCGACTGTTTCTCCTTCATCACCGCAGCATAGGAACAGGAACACTAGGGAGCCGGCCTTAGCAAAGACTTCTGGGAAGTTTTTGGCGGCCCAACAACAACCTTTACAGCTTCCAAAGGTGAGTTGGAGGGATTCGGCTGAATGCAGAAAATATAGGTCAAACAAAACCAATTGACGTTTGAGGGTATACATTTCTAAAATTAAAATTGAGTTCTTACCCTTTAAGCTATAAAGAGCTGAGACCTTACAAGTAATTAAAAACAAAAATATATTTTTTATAAGCATATTCTGTTCATTTTCTACTTTTAAAAATATTTGGTAAAACATTTGATTCTTAATTGTAGTTTAATTTTAATTCCAGAATCCAATGGAGTCTGAAGGCAAATCGCAAGCGGAGGAGGTTTTAGAAACTAGCATGTCTCCCAAGAGGTCATCAGCTAATATGCAATCAAGGGAGATTTCTAAGCAGGAATCCCAGGAGTTTCCACAGGACGCAGGAAAGGAAAATGAGTTAGCCAAGAAGAATGAAGAGCCCCAGAGCAGGGAAGCATCGATCTCAAGACAGGAGCTGACTGCCAATCCGCTCCAGACAAGCACAATCGGAGAGCTGCCTGCACAGAAGGCCAGTGCCCAACTGACACCGCCAATCATGACGTGTAACCAGAGGCGATCCACATCCTACACCCAGTTGAGACCCACAAGGATCAGCCAACCCAAGCCAACCACAGCACAGGCTCAGAGCTCCACGGCGCAGCTCACTTTGGCTATGCCGGTTCCCCTGGCTTTGGCTCCCAAACGCAGCAAGACCAGCATGAGTCCCACGAGCTCGGTTAAACGTGCTGCGCCAGCCGCCTTTGTGGAACCGCGCTTCCTGGAGATCCTGAGGCCTCAGTTTACACCAGGGCCAGCTCTCCGAACTCCCAGCTCGGTCGCGTCGCCTTTGGATAACCCAGAACTTCGTCAACTTAGGGAGGAACTCCAACTGCTGAGGGGGCAAAAGAGCGAGGACAAGCTGAAGCTTCTGGAGCTGGAGCGGATGCGGATACACAACGAGCAACTGATGGAGTTCAAGTCGCAAATCATGACGCAGCAGGTACTGCTCCAAAGGGAACTGCAGAGATCACGGCACGAACTGAGGGAAGCCCACGATGTTTCCTCAAAGTTTAAGAGGGAGTTGGACGAGATAGCTGAGAGCATAGAGCTCCTCACTCTGGACAAAGAAATGGCGGAGGAGCGCATGGAGACCCTGCAAATGGAACTGGAAATGGCTCAGGAAAGAAATGACGAGCTCAGCCTGGACGTGGAGATCCTCAAGGCGGAGCAGGAAGAGCAGCAGGGTCAACGCATCGAGAAGAGTGAGAAGCACACCGGTGTAGGAGTGACTGCGCAATCAGCCGGCGAGTTCCTTCGGCTGGAGCAGTACAACCAACGGCTCCGGGAGACTGTGGTCCGTCTGAGAGACACTCTCGCCCAGGAGAAGCAACTCGGCCAAAGGACGCACAAGGAACTTGAGACCAAGCACTCGGAAATCAACGAGCTGAAAAGCATTAAGGAGTTGCTTAGCAGAAGGGTGGACCACATGGAAGTGCAGCTAATGGATCTGAAAGAGCAGGTAGATGCCTCACTCGGGGCAGAATCCATGGTCACGCAGTTGGCTTCCCTTAAACTGGAGCTGGAGGATCGCGTCAAGCTACTAGAAGATGAGGTTAACGAACTGGAGGCACTGGAACAAATCCAAGAGCAGCTTATTGAAAGCAACCAAGAGCTGGAAACCGACCTGCGCGAGGAAATCGACAAGCTGGGTGGTCAAGTCAAGATTCTGGAGCAGCAGAAGAACGCTGCCATGGAAAGTCTCTACGACCGCGATGTGACCATCATGAAATTCCGGGACCTGGTCAGACAGCTGCAGGAGCAACTCCAGCTCCGGGCAGATGGCACCCTGTCCATCGAGGACTTCAGCAGCGCCAACGAGTCCCAGCAAGAGGAGGGTTCCAATCAGAGTCAGACGGACTATCAGCACATTTTCAGCGTGAGCAAGGCTTACGGCAGGGCGCTGGAGCAGCAGATCAAAACGGTGGAGCTTAGATTGCAGCGACAGCATCTAGAGCACGTCCTGGCCTTCGTGCCCGAGCAGTTCCTTCTGCGCGGCGGGGAACACGATGTGGTACTGGTCATGCTCCTACTAGAGCGGATGAATGAGAAACTGATCATCGTGTGTCAGGCCATCAATGAGAAGTTTCCCACGGCCTGCGAATTTGGTAAGTTTTATTTTTAACTAGATTCTTAAGGGGGAGATACATATAGAAAACAAACAAAATTATATTTTTTTTTTACTTAAATTGGTAGAATAACTCTTTAAAAATGTGTCATGGAAGTTTCACGAAAAAATTCGGAATATTTTGGAACTTATACCAGGCTGACAGCATCCATCTTTCTTGTGCAGTAGATATATTCCATTACTGTAAATGCGTTTTTCTCGAAACCATGTTTTCCTCAGCTGCGGATCGTGTATCTCAAAATGTTTGTAATAAAGTTTTCCACTGTCTGAACCTACTTTATGTAGAAATTTGTACGTTGAATATTTTTTGTAAAGCAAATACAACAAGAACAAGAGAGAACGCTATAGTCGGGTGCCCCGACTATCAGATACCCGTTACTCAGCTAAAGGGAGTGCGAAGGAGATGGAGAAAAACTTTGATCCGCCGTAACTTTTTAACGAATAATCCGATTTAAAAAATTTCTTCTACATTTCGATAGGTATTGATAAACACAATAAAACTGCACTTTTACTTTTCCAAAATATTGAAATTTTTAAAATCGTATATTAGCGATTGTGGGCGTTAGAGGGGGCGTGGCACCCTTTTGAAACAAACTTGCGCTGCGTAGGAACTCCTAGAGTCTGCATGCAAAATGTCAATCTTCTAGCTTTTATAGTTTCCGAGATCTCAGCGTTCATACAGACAGACAGACAGACAGACAGACAGACAGACAGACAGACAGACAGACGGACAGACAGACGGACAGACGGACATGGCTAGATCGACTCGGCTAGTGATCCTGATCAAGAATATATATACTTTATGGGGTCGGAAACGCTTCCTTCTAGCTGTTACATACTTTTGCACGAATCTAATATACCCTTTTACTCTACGAGTAACGGGTATAAAAATATGAAAAAAATGGATTTTTGAATTTTAAAGAGTGCCACCAGAGTTTTTGAGATATTCTATGTAAGTTAGTTTCAGACAGTTTCTACATTATTTTCTAACAAAATAATTTGGTTTCATAAAAATCGGATCTACACAGTGACCTGTGGACGATCCGCAGCTGGCCTACTTTTTTTTAAAAAGGCCTGACAAAAAAATTCTTACGGTCGCCATTTTAAAAGATAAAAAAAATTTTAAAATTGGTTTAAATTATATAAGAACTATGTAATTAACATGCCAAGTTGCAAAGTTTCCGCACCAACCCTTATTGGTTAAAACAAATCACGAAAAACTTGAAAGGTTTGCAGTTCTATATGTATCTCCCCCCTGAATTACTTTATATTCTGATTTCATATTAGGGAATATTAGCTAGTATTAGCAATGCTATTGTTATCGTTGTTGTAAAATAATAATAAGGTTTTTTCATCAACAGGACGCGATGCCATTTTCGAGGGCTACTCCGTGCAGCGCTACATCTTCCGGTCGCAGTGCCTATACTTGCTTAAGAGTCTCCAACTGGTGCTCCAGCAGTTCCGCCACGGACTCAACCATTGCGCCTACGAGCTGTGCACACATGCGGCCATTTACAGAAGCGATCTGGAGACCCAGGAGCAGCAGCTGGACGAGTTTGTGCGGTTGCTTAAGACTGGTCAATTGGACGAGCATTCGAACTGCGAACCGATTCGGCGAGTTCTTCACTATGTTAGTGGACTGCATCAAAATCTGATGCCACCGCAAACGCTTGTGGAGCTCCTGGACGAACAGCAGCTGTACGAAGCCCTGATCGAAGTCTATGAAGCGGGCTTGGATGCCGTGAATGCAAATGCGGGTCTGATGCACACCATTATACAACTGGGCCACGAGCAGACCGCTTCCTTTAATTGCATGCAGTTGCTAATGGAGCAGAGCTGTGCTCAAAAGCAGAAGCTAAAGAAGCTGCAGAGGAAACTGGGAGGTAGCAAAACGGCTTACTGGACGGGAATGCAGTGTGCTCGATACCAGAGGATTCTTGAGGCCAATGAGGCTCTGGGAGCTCTTATCCGACTGCTGGGCTCTACTGCCCGAGAGGCCAGCAGGGACTCCAATGGCGGAATAGCCCACGAAAAGTTGTGGAGGATTCTGGTGCTTAACTACAACAAGTTCGCACCAAGTCAGGAGGGCGAGGAGCCTAGGGAAGTGGACGCCTACAGCCAGCGGTGCATGCAACTGCTGGATGAGCAGTTGGATGAGCTCTTTACCCTGCTGGAGTCTACTGACGTGAATACGGAATACGTGCGCCATGCGACTAGCAACACTTTGCAGGAGCGGGCTGCCCAGGTGAAGCGACACTACGAGGACGTGAAGAACCTGGAGCTAACTGTTGCCGAGCGAGACAAGGAAATCAAAGGCCTCAAGTACATGGCAAAGATGAAGCAGCAGGACTTCTCGGAGCTCCAGGTTCGCAAGGAAATGGCGGAGAAGCAGCTGAGCAAGCAGTGCCACGTGCTAGCCGGATTCGCAGAGGCTGTGGAGCAACTGGAGCAATCGATTTTGGCCAAGGAGGCGGCTCTTGGACAGGCCCTGAATATTCTAGCGGATAAGATATCCATCCTGGAGCAGGCGCAGCAGCACTGGCAGGAGCAGCAGCAGGCGGACAGCGCCTGTGTGACCAGTACCACGATAACTTCCAACCGGGAGATGAACATGCTCCATCAGGCTCTGCGTCAGGAGAGATACCTCAGAGTCCAGTTGCAGGGTCGGGAGATGAGGAAGACCTTCGCCGCCTTGGAACCACTACATGTTCCTCGAACCGAAAGCCAGGACTTGACCAGCATGGAGAGGGACCTCCGCTCGCTAAAGAACCAGTGGCTCCTGGCCCACCTGGAAATGGGTACTGCTGGCAGTCAGCGTCGGTCAGAGATCGAGCTGCAGGGCAGCCGCATGCTGCGACATATCTTCCAGACATATTGCACACATCATCCGTACCGGTCCAAGGACACTGATTTTGGCCTCTTCATTAGCGATGATCTGCGGAGAGCATTCGAGCAAAATTTCTAGTTATACGAATTAGTATTCCAACTGTATTTCGGTCGTAACAAAGGTATATGTGATGCGCGGCTTATATAAAACATAAATATATTAATAATTATTTTTACGAAAGTAGATATTATATACATGCATATATGAAAACTGTACAATTATATAGTTCATTTCGTGTTTATCGGGCAATAAACAAATTTACATTACTTAGACAAATTACACAAAAATTGAGTTCTTGAAATGCCTGAAAGTACCGGGGGAAGGATTTAATTTTCTACATTTATTTGCAGCAATTTAATATCACCCATTATTAACCTGAAAGCATTAACATTTAATCAGAGATTTTCAGTTTTAATCAAGTAACGTGATCTTTTTAAAACTTTTATTCGCATGTTTCGCAATTAGTTACAATAAATGGCAATAAATCTTATTGTTGAGCACCCCCGACTGTGGCGTTCTTAAAAGTCGTTTATTTGAAATTAACATTTTACAAAATATCAATATACAATCCTTTATGTACAAATAGTTGGGCATAATAAGTGGCGCGCATTTTAAGAGGAGAGCAGCGCAAGCTGTTCAATAAAACAAAACGTTTATCACATGAGCACAGTATCGGGGATCCAGAAGAGCGGTATGAGGGGCGGATTTATAGTTGGATATTAGATATATCATGGTAAGATGGCGGCCAGTTGACATCGTTGGTGTTGTGCGTCGTTGTCATTGTGGGGTTTGTATAAATACGTTTAATGTTTAATGAGAAGAAGATTGGATTTGAGGCTATTTACAGTTGCTGAACGAACAAAGATATTTGCGACCTATGAAGAGCTGTGCACGAAAATATTTTATCAAGAAACAGTTACAGTATAATAAATAATCTAGTACCGTAAGAATATTATATACATAAGTATACATTTTATGGTTATTATATTAATAATCCAGTTATCCTAGATTATTTTTAAATTTGTATTCAAAATTCTTATATAGTAAAAATGTCATATCCCAACGTAGAAGACAATACAATAAAAACCAATGAAGCTATAATTAGGTACCTATTAATTTTCCGATTGTTCTTATCTATATGATACTGTAGTCCGAATTTGATCAAACTAAATTCGAAATTCTTATTAATAAAGCTATAATTTTTTAACATTTTTTTTCGAATATTTCTGTGGGAGCTATATGAAATATTCGAATATAATATATAATATATCAAATACTTGTCGGTTCCGGCTGGTTCCGACTTATATTCTAAATGCTATATGCTAAATGCTCCCGATAACTTTAAAACTGAGAGTCTAGTTTGCGTAGAAACGGACAGACAGACAGACAGACGTGCTAGATCAACTCGTTTAGTGATGCTGATCAAGAATATATATACTTTGTAGGGTCGGAAACGTCTCCTTCAACGCTAGATATTTTAAAATTTACTTCAAATATTGAATGATGTTCATTGCTAACTCTAAATTGCTATTTGCAATTAATTACTTTCCATAATTAAAACTTACCTCACGACTTGGCTTCCGTCTGACGCTTGGCCACAATTTTGCCCTGATCGCGACTGTTGATAACCTCGGCGTGGAAGCCAGTCTCCCAGTCGGCGTAGTACTTCACCGTGCGCACATTGCCATCGGGCTCCACCAGGGAGTATTCGCCCTTTACCACGTCACCATCGCGCTCCTCCTTTTGGTGCTTGTTATCTCCCGTGTGGGGATCATTCACAGCGTACTCGAAAGCATAACGAGGATGAGCATCCTGGGAAAACCGGGGGGCCTTTAGTGCCAATATTCATAAGAGATCGTAGCTCACTTACGAAGTGCTCCAGGTGCTTCTCGGGCACCACCTTCAGAACGGCGTGCTGTGCCACGGGTGCCGACTTTAAGTAGGTGGTGGCTGCCACTGGGGCGTGGCTGCTCAGCGCCGGTACACTTGGAGCATAGCGATAAAATCCCGCTCCCAGAGGTCCAATTCCGCCCACTCCGTGCGAGTATCCACTCAGGGAGGAGTCCAGGTGGCCCAGGGAGGCGGAGCCTGGGGCCAGACCAGATCCATGGGATAGCAAACCGTGGTAGGAAAGAGCTGGAGATACCGCTGCGTGACCCAAAGAGATTGCTCCATAGTAGCCGCCACTGGGACCAGCTCCATGTCCTAAATTACCTAGAGGAACGAATTTATTTAGATGGATGTGTAGGCAGGATGGGCAAGGAAAAGTTTATACCCTTTAAATGTTGGGTTCAGTTAAAACAAGAGAGATCGCTATAGTCGGCTATAGCGACTATCAGATTCCCGTTACTCAGCTAAAGGGATTGCGAGGGAGTTGGAGTTATAAAACTTTGATCCGGCATAACTGTTTAACGAATGGAACGATTTGAAAAATTTCTACATGCACGCTGCAATAGAATATGCTTTTGAAGACGAAATGCTTAAATATTTTGCAGAAGCGGACCGAATGAGAATATTTTATTAGGTATATTTATTGAGCCGAATGTACAAGCATTTTTCGTCATAAAATGTGATATCAGAACTTTTGTATGTTGATGATGCGGTTGTCACTTCTTTTTTACCTTGTTACTTTACGAGTAACGGGTATAAATAGTTAGCTGAGTACGGTGTTATATTTAATATTTATTATAATCACATTTTATATATGTATTATTTCAAGTGCCTTATGTTTGCGACTTACCCGCATGGATTCCGTAGGCGGTGCTGCTGGCCAGCTTTCCTCCCAGGGAATAGGCTGGAGCCGTCGTCAACTTGGTCAGGGGGCCGCTGAGCAGTGCTCCGCCGTGTCCATGTCCACTGCCCCCGTACCCGAGACCCACTCCCAGGGGGACCGACGGGCCTGTGCTGATGTGGCTCGCGGCTGGAGCGGCGGCATAGGCGGCCACCTTGGCGATGGCAGGAGCAGCTGAAAGGGCAACTGCGGGCTTGGAGACGTATTGATGCGAAACTGCGCCCGAGCTGTATCCCAAGCCACTTCCTCCGTAGCCAGTGGCCACTTTAGTGGACAAAAGGGGGCCGGAGGCGATGGCATGTCCTCCGGAAATGTGGCCTACAGCTGGAGCCACGTATGTGGCAACTTTGGCTATTGCAGGAGCCGCTGAGATGGCCACCGCCGGCTTGGACACGTACTGGTGGGAGACAGCTCCCGAGCTGTACCCGGAGCCACTTGCTCCATATCCGTGGCCACTGGATATCACAGGGGCCGCTGAATAGGTGGAAATGGCAGGGGCGGCATAGGAGGCTACTTTCGATATTGCAGGTCCAGTCGAGTAGCTCGCAATGGCCGGAGCAGCGTAGGAGGCCACTTTGGCAATGGCTGGGGCACCAATAGCCAGCGCGGGCTTGGATACGTACTGATGGGAGACGGCTCCCGAGCCACTGATTCCGTATCCTGTGGCCACTTTGGCGGGCAAGGCGATGGTCGGAGCAGCAGGTAAATAGGTCTTGGAGAGAACAGGAGCAACCGGAGCCACTGCGATCGCAGGTTTCGAGATGTACTGATGGGAGACGGCACCTCCATGTCCCGAGCCTCCATAGCTGGTGGCGATCTTGGCGAGACTGGGTGCCGAGGAATAGCTAGAAATGGCAGGAGCAGCATAGGTCGCCACTTTGGCAATGGCGGGAGCAGCTGAAATAGCCACCGCTGGCTTGGACACGTACTGATGGGAAACAGCTCCGGAGCTATATCCGGATCCACTTCCCCCGTATCCCGTGGCCACTTTGGTCACCACCGGAGCTGCGGAGTATGTGGATATGGCAGGAGCCGCATAGCTGGCCACCTTGGAGATGGCAGGAGCAGTGGCATAGGTGGAGATGGCCGGGGCAGCATATGTGGCTACCTTGGCGACAGCAGGAGCTGCATGAATGGCCACCGCCGGCTTGGAGACATATTGGTGGGAAACGGCTCCCGATCCGGAGGCTCCGTAGCTCGTGGAGAGCTTGGTGATGGCCGGAGCGGAGGAGTAGGTGGCCACGGCGGGAGCAGCTGCCGGATAGGCAGCCACAATGGGCTTGGAGATGTACTGGTGCGACACATCGGCGGCCTGACTGTAGGAAACCTTGGTCAAAGCAGGAGCAGAGGAGTACGTGGATATGGCAGGAGCCGCATAGCTGGCCACTTTGGAGATGGCAGGAGCAGTGGCATAGGTGGAGATGGCCGGAGCAGCATATGTGGCTACCTTGGCGATTGCAGGAGCTGCAGAAATGGCCACCGCCGGCTTGGAGACATACTGATGGGAGACGGCACCTCCATGGCCCGATCCTCCATAGCTCGTCGCGATTTTCGTGACAGCGGGACCAGATGAGTAGGTGGCAATGGATGGAGCAGCATAGGTCGCCACTTTGGCGATGGCAGGAGCTGCTGAAATGGCCACCGCTGGCTTGGAGACATACTGATGGGAAACGGCACCCGAGCTGTATCCCGACCCGCTTCCTCCGTAGCCGGTAGCCACCTTGGTCACCACTGGAGCTGAGGAGTATGTAGAAATGGCTGGAGCAGCATAGGTCGCAACTTTGGCAATGGCTGGCGCAGCTGAAATGGCCACTGCCGGCTTGGATACGTACTGATGGGACACGGCCCCTGAGCCACTTGCCCCATATCCAGAGCCCGAGGAGTAGGTAGATACAGTGGGAGCTGCGTATGTGGCCACCTTCGAGATGGCCGCACCACTGGAGTAGCTGGAGATGGCAGGAGCAGCATAGCTGGCTACCTTGGCAATCGCTGGAGCGGCAATGGCCACCGCTGGCTTGGAAACATACTGATGGGAAACTGCCCCCGATCCTGAAGCTCCATAGCTCGTGGAGAGCTTGGTGACGGCGGGGGCGGACGAGTAGGTGGCCACCGTTGGAGCAGCATAGGTAGCCACCTTGGCGATCGCTGGCGCTGCGACCAGAGCGGGCTGGGAGATGTACTGGTGGGAAAGAGCTCCGGATGCGGTGCCTCCGTAGCTGGCAGCCACCTTGGTGATCGCCGGGGCAGCCGCTGGATAGGCGGCCACTATGGGCTTCGAGAAGTACTGGTGGGACACATCTGCGGCCTGGCTGTATTTCGTTAGTGACGGAGCATAGCTCGCTGAGTATCCTGTTCCGTGGGCGGAGAGCAGTGTCGAGGTGGTGGCCAACTTAAGAGCGGGGGCTGAGTAGCTGGACACTTTGGCAATCGCCGGCGCCGAGTACGAAAGCGCCGGCGAATAGGTGGCAATCTTAGAGACCCCAGGAGAGACGTGTCCATAGCTGTAGCCAGGAGAGCTGTAGGTCTCCACCTTGGAGTAGCCGGGAGTGGCCTTGGAGTACGTGTAGCCAGGGGAGCTGTAGGTCTCCACCTTGGAGGTCACTGGTGGCGCGTAGTAGGGAATGCTCGAGAGAGCTGGCGAGGAGTAGGTGGCCACCTTGGATACGGCCGGAGTGGCCGAACTGTAACTGTATCCAGGGGAGGTGTACGTGGCCACTTTCGAGATTCCGGGCGATGGTGGCAAGTAGGTGTTGTCCAGCTTGCTGATGGCCGGCGACACCAGGTTCTTGATCTCGATTCCAGATGGCACCACCGTTGCGTACTTGGCGGCTGGCGACTTGTCCGCATAGGTGATTCCCGCTCCTCCGTACTCAGCCGATGGGCTGAACAGGGTCTTCTGCACCGGGGCTATGTACTTGTCGATCTGTGCGATGCCGCCATGCGACAGACCCTCGATTCCGGCCGTTGACTGGTAGGACGCGCCGGAACTTCCCACCGAGGTGTGCAGGAGGTGTCCGTTTTCCGAGTATGTGGAAACCGCAGGGCTCTGGCTGTACTTGGTCACTCCGGGCGAGATGGAGAACTTCACCTCCGCCGGCGGAGGATACGAGTAGCCCGCGGTGGCCGCGTGCACACAGGGCAATATGGGCGGTGCCAGGGTGGGCGAAGGATCCGCCAGAACCACGCTAAGCATGCCCAGAAGGGCAATCAAATGGAGCTGAAACCGAAAGGGTAAAAGTAAGTAGTTAAAGCCAGATTTAGAGCCTCAAGAGTTGTTGGGTTTATTTTCATATGAAAATTTGAAACTAAAAATAAAAGTTTTAGGACCGTGCTCTCATTCGCCTGTTAAATTTAATGAAAGCTTTAAACTCTGATTTCTCAAACAATTTCAAGGCTTAAACCTTACTTTAAGATATTTATTTAAATGATATTTATTAATAACAACCATAATAAGAAAGGGCCCTGATTTGCACGAGTAAACAGGATGTACGTGTATGTAGACATTATCCTTTGTTTTTTTAAATATTAATTCATACTGTTTGATATTAAATATCAAAGAACTAGAATTGTAAAACTATAATGGTAAAAATGTATTTGTATTTAAAACTAAAGCTAAATAAAATAAAACAAGTTTTAGTTTTATAGGTGTCCTGAATTATTTTTTTTTAAGTAACACCAATTTTAATGAAAATTTATTTGAAATCTTGTAAGGAATATTTTTACTGCGTTATAAATATTAATTCCTGAGCACAATACAAATTTTTTGAATGATTTGGTAAAAACGCTATTTTAAATTGGAACTTCGCACCAACATTTTTTAACAGGATTTCCTTTACAAAATCTAATTTATTATAAATATAAATATATTTATTATTTTTTAAAAGGTTTTTAAAGCAATACGTGTTTAATCTGGAATAATTCAATTTTTTTAATACACGTTTCTGTTTTATAAAAAATGTGAGCATATTGATTAAATTGTGTATTTTAATTAGCACATTTTCTTTCGGCACAAACTTTGAAACGTCCTTTATCAAAGTCCTTTTAAAATGTCTGTAGGTTTTTTTAAATATGTGTTCAAGGACCCACCTTCATATTTTCACTTTTCAAACTCGGCACAGTCAATGGTTGGTATTCGTTTGCAAGGATTCACAAACTTTTTAAAATCTTTATTCAGGTAAACACCATTTGCACTTTTCAAAAAAGAATTCACAAGTTTGCGGTCCTTGATGTTTCGGTTGTAATTTCAATGGATTATCCTTGGGCAGCTCTGAAAATCACAATCAATTGATCTAATTTTGATCTCCGATTTGCTTCAATTTTACTAAGAACGGCTCGGAACGCAACGCAACGTATCGAATCGAATCGAATCGGATCGGAACGATTCGAGATGTAGAGCAGAGCCACGCGGCCGACTGGACTGGACTGTTGGCCAGCCCGGCCCTATAATCGCTTATATACGTTCGGTCAGTTGGCCAACACTCGCGAAAAGCTCGCACGCATGCGCAGCAGCCACGCACCAGTTTGGCGACAAAGCGACAAAAAAGTGTAACTACATGTATAGCAAAATCGAAAAATAAAAATTGATCTAGCTGCAAGGAAAGAGCCAAGTGAGGCACGAATAAGCTGCGACTTTGGCGCGTGCAGATGAAGAATTGATGACTGTTCGACTCCAGCTCTCGTTTCTCGAGGCAGCTTTGTTCTCTCCACGTCGGACTGAAAACTAAAAACTTAAAACTGCGAGCTGGAGACAGAAAACTGCAAGCTGGCGAACTGCAACCTGCCTGGCCAATTGTTTGGCCCCACCTTCGCTCAGAGCCTCAGTTGGTTGCGTTTTATTAGATCATAGTCGCGAACGCCTCGGCTCAAAAATAAACCGATCACAAAATTCGCGTGGTGCATTGTTGGCCGAGTCACTTTTTGCCACAGTTTTATTTCGACTTTTTTAAAGATTTTTTTTGCATACCCGTATGCTTTTAAAGCGACTTAATTTGATTTAGATTTTAATCGCGGCCATTGCGTGTAGCTCTGGAAAAAATAAATGCATACGCAATTTGCTAGGCCCCCAAATCGAAAAAAAGCATAAAAAATCGAAAAATAGAGAGCAATGTATGTAGAAAATAAAACAAGAATTGTGGTATTAATGTCGCTATCAATAAATTTTGCCTGCCTGTATGTGTGCAATCATGCGTGCCATGTGCCTTGGGCCTTGATTGTGCATTAGTTGGCTAAAAGGCGCATTGCCACATCATAATGCGATACAATGTGTAACTAATAGAATAGCCGGGAGATATGGCCAAGTGCTGACTTGTCGGCCATTAAGGTCACTATGCATCGTGTGTCACCCTCTGAGCGAGGGTGGGAAGAAAATGTCGAACAAATGGCCAACCCAATGCGTTAACATGTCTGATAAATCGCCTGGCTGACAAGCGATTTGAAGAAACTTGGTTAAGAATTTCGGGTGAGGCTGAAATCGGTTTTTGGTTCTCAGTGTTGATTTTAACAGCCTAATTTATTATTTCTGTTAAGCCAATTTGCATTGTTGCCAATTAACTAATTAAATAATTACATAATCACCCGTAAATATCATTATTATAAAAGTACTATAAGACCCATTTTTAGCTAATAGTTTTCTAAACTTCACTAACATCAAATAAATAAATAAGGATATATTGAGCTCTTTCAAAACATAGAATATGTATTTTTATTTAAATACTGTTAAATAGAAATATTATACATAATAATAAGTAATAAGTGTTAACTTAAATTAATGTAAACAAATTAAGTTTATTTATTTGTTTATACTCTGGTTAAGAGGTACATAGTACACAAATTTTATTTTATTGTCTTTGTAGGGATCATTGAAATTATTGCCCAAAAGTTTTATTGCCATTTCTCCGACAACTTACACTATATAACAAAACAAACCATAACTGTGCCACTCAAAGCGGCTATTTCTAAACCTTTTTAGCCTTTTTTCCGAGTGCAGACATCGCCCACAAATTTGTTTTTGGCCGCCAGCAATTTCACACAACATGCGGTAAATGCATTTTCACCCATAAGCACAGACCATTGGGCTACCTAAAGTCATAATTTCGAGCAGTTCGATAATCCTGCCGCTTTGGCGCCCGCCCCGCTGGCATCACGCATACGCCACGGTGTGCGCTCGCGCAGCAGAAATGCCAAGCCCGTCGGCCTTTCTCAAAAACACACGCAATACTTACACTTTAGCACTAACTTAACTGGTTCGCGATACACGCAAATGTTTTCTGGGCTTGTAGAATTCTTGGGCGAGATCGGCCGATTATGAATAAACATAAAATCGGCGATTTTATAAATATGTTTGGCAAATTTTGAAGTGTTTACGCAGCGATGTGGTCAACATGGTCGCGCTATTGAAAGACCGACAAACCATCTAGATATAGGATTCGCCGCGAAACAAAGTTGAATGTAAATGATCCGGCTGGGTCGAAAATCAAGATTTTTCAATTAAAAGCCCCAAAGCGAAAGGGGGAGGGTTGCAAAGCGATTTCGTCATGATGCTAAGTAGGCATGGTCGTGAGGCAGCCATGGCCAGCTGTACGAGTATCTGTAACTAGGACTGAAGCTACAGCCACGGCTATACGGCCATATAGCTGGCTCTCTGAGGCCCGCAGATCGTTTCACCAAACTTACGCAACCCGAGCGATCTGTGCGTGTGTGTGACAAATGCGTGGCGAGGCGAACTAAACTCGTCCAGCGATCAGCCTGAAGTAGGTTAAAATTCGCGCAGCTGACTTTTCGGCTTGCGTTTGCAAATGTTGAAAAATTAAAATTCAATCAAATTGCGAAAACCGTTCGCGAAAAGCCCAAAATGAACCAAAAAAGCTGGCCGACAGCTCGAAACATGTTTCATGTTCAATTAACAGCAGTAATACCATCGCAGTCGGACTCGAAGTCGGGAAAATACCAGGAAAAGTCGGGAACATTGGCGGACCTAACGCTTCTCCTGACTTTTCCGATTAAAATCGCATCATGCAACACCCAATCACCCGAAGCTTAATTGGTCCGCCAGGTTTATCGGCCGGCGACGGCTCTCGATCTGGATCGGCATTCTTTAGCGCGATTGCGTGTCTTGGCTTTCCGTTTTTTATGCGATTTTCCTTTTGGTTCGGCCTGGGTTTCTAATTGAAATGTCAACGCGTGTGCTGCTCAATCAATTTTCCAGCCAGCCATTTATGGTTGCTTTTATTTCGGCAAAACTTCGCCTAGATTTCACATCGGTAATCGTCTGGCCAAGAGTTTGTTTTGCCTTTTTTCCAGCTGGGTGTTTTTAATTGATTTGGCCGGCATGCAGTGTCATTCGCGAGTCAGGGACAATGTGGCAGCGGTGGCAGCTTGATGGCTGCCAGAGACCAAGTGGCAGACTTCAGACGCGGCGGACAGCTAATTAAATGCGGTCATAAGGTGCGTTTATTCGATAGAAGTTATTAATTGGTTCCATTGGGACCGAGTCCTGTTTGAAAATGTCATATTCATCCTAGTTTTATGAGCCACAAAAATTAAAAATATAATAAGTATTCCTTGTTAACGTTGGGAACAAAAAAAATAAAAATCAAATAAATTTATAAAAATTAAAATAATTAGTAATATACCATACATTCTTGTCTAAAAATGTATTTACTATTATACAAATGGGAAACAATTATACTTCAAAATTAATAAATTAGTTTCAGTATCTACGGCTGCCTATCCCTGTTTGTATAGTTTTTAGATTTAATGAAATAGTGTTTAAATAAATAAATTTTATGAGTTTCAAATTCCTATTATAATTTGATCAATAGTGAAATGATCATAAACCAACCTTACCAACCAACCAACGTACCTGATAAAAAAGGATTCAAGTATAAAACATCCAGTATTTGTACTTGCCAATCTAGAAACATTTAAAACTTAAGAAATAAATACAAAATATTTAAAAAAAAATTGCTTTAAAAATGTAATTTATGATGCAGCTACAAAAATAAGGTTTTTTTAAGAAGGAAAAGAAAAGTTTTACCTATCTATTAAACCTATATTTTTTTATTTACTATTAATATTGATATATTTACTCGAATATTGGGAATACAAGAAGAAACAAATATTGAATGAAGCTATATTTGAAACTCGATTGAATAATGGCGAAGGTGATAAGCCGGATGTAATTGTGAACGACTAGCAGTAAACAAATCTATTTATAAAGCATACCGTCAGGGGCGATTTGATTTAAAAGTTGCTGGCCTATAGAAGGTTGCATAGATATATATTTCAGAATGTTTATACTGGGCTCCGATAAACAACTGCTGAATCTACCCCCTTTGCAGTCGGCTCGAGTGTCATAAACATTTGTCATAATTAACACAGATTAGGCATTTGGCATTCTTAATGAACGCTCTGCTGCACTGGCTCTCCCACCAGCGAATGCCTAACCCCTCTGCTAATCCAATTTAGTTAATCTCATGCATAACTAGTTCGACCACAGATCGAGTATTCTAATTACCGGTGCGATTTTGATTTCGATTTTGATTTCAAATTCAAATTCGATTGCGAGTACCAGATTGAAAACTCGCACTTTTTGTCAACGCAAATCGTTGCGTATGGCATTGACTTGGATTTTCTTGTGATTTCTGTGCATAAATTGAAGTGTCGACCTGCGATCAGGGAGCAAAGTGTCAAATGGCTGATCGAAGTGAAGAGGGCGATTGGAAAAAATTGATTTCTTATATGCAAATTGCTCCCACATTGCGATTCTAGGCGAACCAGTTTCCCAGCGTCGGTTCCAAAGTGATGCCAATAAAAAGCGATGCTCATAAACGGAGATCAGTGCAGAATCACTTAGCGCGTTTTCAGACGCGTGAGAATGCCTCAAAATGATCGAGTGCAACGGATTCTCAGATTTCAGCTTACGAGTGTGCTGCGAGTGCAGAGGCGTTCGGCAGCGCTCCCAATTAAATAATTTACAATTTTCTAGATTAGGCGCCGCCTCCGTCCGACGACATTGAACGTAGTCAGGGGCTATGAGTCAGTTCTGCGTCCATGTGCTTCGTATCAGAGACTCTTGAGACTTAGATCCGGTTTGGGGCTCGCCGGAGTCGCCGGTGGAAAAGCTGCCCCGCTGACACGCACACCTTTTATGGAAAGGATCCCTCCCCGCAGCAGAAAACGCTGGCCAAAAGCAATTAGCGGCCCAAACAAATGTGAGAGACAATTCTCAGAAGTGCCTGCATGGCCTATGCATTGCAATCGCATAATTTGCTATCAAATCGCACGCGTTTTTCAGGCATACTCTTGCGAGGGGTGGTCTAACTAAAACCGTTTTTGCATTGATACAAAGTGTAAGTTATCTAAATGATTTTTTGCAAATTTATAGGATAAAATTTAATTTCGCTAAATTTCATACTTTTTTTAATAAAAAGATTGCTTACCGTCGCAATCCTAAAATAATTACACAGGCCGACAGTGTTTTTGGTGCAGCCCTATGGGCATTAAATTGTGTTAATATAGACGGGTATAAGCATATCTGCATACTTAGTTTTCGCGTTTAACGGGTGGTATTTGTGCAATCGCGGTTTGAAAAAAATAGCAACATTAATTGTTTTGATTTAAGATATTCTCGAGGGTCTGTGCTTAGTTGTAATAAAACCTATACCAAAAAATAGCTTAGATGCCCTTCTAAATAATTGCATTTAAGGTTCCATCATAATTTGAGTCAATCAAAGCCTATGAGCCATTGAAGTAATTTGTTCACCTCTATTCCCAACCAACTTGATGCGGTGAACAGGCTTAAAAAAATACAAGTCAAAATATGTGCCCTAAAATATTTGACAGGCATCTAGAGGCGTCTTTCACCGAATTTTTAAGATAAATAAGACCATTATACGTCGAAGGGTGGAATTAATAGAATTTTTTTCATAGGAACGTAAAAAGTAACAAGTATTTTTGAGTAACTATTACGTAACGAGTTGGTCGTGACTTAACACAGTAGGTTTTTTAAAGATAACAGTGGCGTAGCCTTAAAATTGTGGGGGGAGATATTTAACAGGCATACTAACCCCTTGAAAATACAAATTTTCGATGTTCGGCGCCTACTGCTAAACAAATTGAAAGGCAAATTTCTACGAATGTGTCAGATATTTATGTAAAATGGAATTTCAAAATTCTTGTTACTTTTCCCTTTCTTACGGAAAAAATTCTATAAATTCCATCCTTTGAAGTACAATAGTGGGTTTTATCTCAAAAATTCGGGAAAAGTCGTCTCTAGATGCCTGTCAAATATTTTACAGCACATATTTTTCCTTGTATTTTTTTAAGACTGTTCACCGCATCAAGTTGGTTGTGAACAGAGGTGAACAAATTACTTCAATGGCTCATAGGCTTTGATTGACTCAAATAATAATGGAACCTTAAATGCAATTATGTAGATGGGCATCTAAGCCATTTTTTGGCATAGGTTTTAATTCAGTTGGGCAAAGACCGTCGAAGATATCTTAAATCAAAACATTAAATGTTTCTATTTTTTTCAAACCGCGATTGCACAAATACCACCCGTTAAACGCGAAAACGAAGTATGCAGATATTCTTATATACGTCTATATTAACATATTTTAATGCCCATAGGCCTGCACCTTTTAATAAAGTCCATTTTGTTGACCTGTGTTATAGTATCTTCATGTTATAGAGTATTCATATCTTTTTCTTCACCTATGCACATTTTTGGGCGTTTTCAAAGTTGCGTTGTCGGCTTGAAATAATTAATGCGAACTGGTGTTAATTTATGGTTGTCGCTTTCGTTGTTGGATGGCGTTGCTGCTGCTATTGCCATTGCATGGCATAATACAAAACTCAATTGGAGGTTGGGCACTGCGAGAGGGATCAGAAGTCGGCGATCTTTGGCTGCTTGTTAGCAATTTCCTGTCAGCCCACGAATTTTCTGGCTCATTGTTGTCTCCGCCCGGGTTCTATGATTTATGGTGGAAAATCTTTGGCAAGTGCAGCTGGAAATTTGATTCCGCAAGAAATTGCATTGAGCTGATCATTACTTACCATGTCAGGGAGTGTTGAGTCTTACAAAATGCTCTATCTCATTTTGATTGGGAACAACAATTGCTGAGTAAAAACATTAATTAAACTTGAACAACTCACATGAAATACCTTTTTCACAATAATTAAATAATAATTATTTAATAATTAATAAATAATTAAATATACTAATTTTATTGTGGCTCAGTGATAAATTTAATTAATATAAGGGGCTGTCCATATATTACGTAATCACGTTTTTGCTGATTTTTGACCCCCTCCCCCCTTTGGTGATCAAACGTAATCTTTCAATAAATAACCCCCCCCCAATGATTACGTAATCCCAAGAATAAAATTTTTTTGTTTTAATATGTGGATTCAAACAGAGATGCAACCCAATCTTTAATATTGCTTATAAATGGAGTTTGGTATGACACATTCGGTTCGTATACGCTGAAATTATCTCCAACATACTCTTCGTCAAGCCATTCCAGGTCTTCGCATTCTTCGTGTGATTGAAACACTAAACATTCTCTTTCTCGCCGCCCACCCACTAAAAAAATTTTTTTCTCTGCTTTCCTATCTAAGTTTGCAGATATATTTAAAGAAAAAAAGTTTTTAAAAAAATTCTTTAAATTAAAAAATACATATAAAATGATTACGTAATCATTGTGCAAGACCCCCCCCTCCCCATGTAATCAAACATAATCATTTCAATGACCCCCTCCCCCCTAGGTGATTACGTAATATATGGACAGCCCCTAAGCTAACTAAAAATGGAAATTAAGTACGCACTGCTTAAGAGCAAATTAATTTATTTGACAAACAATATCTTAAATACAACTAAGCAAATAAATTACTCAAAGAGAAAACAAAGTAAATAAATAAAAGGAAGCACTAGGGGAGATAGATCCTTATCTCTAGGCACCTTCCAAGGTGCGGTAACTTCCCGAATCGAAGCCGTGCCCACCCGCGTACATGGGAACCATGTGCTTCTTGTCCTTGCGCACCATATTCTGCACCAGAGTGGCCGACGCCGCCCCCTGTTCATCCTCCTCGAAGTCCTCGAATTCCTCCTCTAGGATCTTTGGAAAGAGAACAGGACCGGACTTTTCGGGTCTCTGGGCGCGTGGCTTTTGCTTGGGGTGCAGGGGACGCAGCTTCTTGGGCTTACGGTGGAAGTAGCTTGAGTAATCGGGTCGGGAATAGGACTTGGAGACCCCCTTGTACTTGTAGTGCTTCAGACCGGGCGTCGTGTGAACCACCTTCTTCTGGTGAATGTGATTGGACAGGCCTTCGGGGATACTAACTCTGGGCTTTGAGGGGGAGAAGCTGGTGTGAAGCGATTGCTGCGCAGTCGAGGGCTTGTGGATGTAGTTGTGGGGCAGCTCCTTGGGCTTATAGTGCTCGTAGTAGCCGTGGTGGGAGTGGGCCGGGGATGCTGTGGTGTAATAAGGCCGATACTCCTTGGGTTCGTTCACAATCACTGCCTTCCAATCGCCCTCTTGCACCGCATAGGTGGGCTGCAGCTTCTGCGAATAGTCATCCAATTTATGGGCAGCGGCTATTTGCTTATAATACGTATCCCTGGCCTGCTGCAATCGGTCCCTGATGCCCGGATCCATGTCCATGGGCACCTGCTTGATCCTGGCGTGCGGCTTGATCTCAATCAGGCTGGGGATCTTCGGATGCGAGTGGGTCAAGTCCTCAATAGGCCTCTTTAGCGGCTTGATGTCGGAACTAAGGACAATGTGCTCCTGGTCCTTGCTGTAATGGTTGATCTTCGACTGCGAGGTGTCGTCGTTGACATGGTTACTGCCCTCCGGGGTCTCTGTGATGGGATGCGAATTGGCGCCCACTGTCTTGACAATCGCATTGAATCCCTTCTTGGCATCGGCCGTATAGTGAACCGTTCGTATGGAGCCGTCTGGCTCCAGTATGCTGTAGTGGCCCTTGACTCCGTCTTCGTCGCGGGACTCCCACTGCGACTTCACATCCCCAGTGTGCAGATCCTTGACCCCATAGCTGAAGGCATAGCCCGGATGCTCCTGGAATGAAAGATTGTGTTTAATGATTTAGTGCGCCTTAAAACGCACTGAAATGCGTGCTTTTATGGCTCCAACCGCACCCAAAATTCGTATACACACTTTTCGAAACCCCAATGGCTATGTCAACGTCTGTAGAACTTTATATGTTTTCATGACGACCAACAAAAAAAAAAATGCCAAAGAAAAATGAAACAAATTCAACTTTTTGTGTCAAGGCAAAAACGCGCGCTGTGCACAGTTTGAAAGCCATTGGAATCGGAGGAGGCCTTTGGGTTGGGTTTTTCAGTTCTTGGGATTGGGTTTTCGTTTGATCTGCAGCCGACATTGAAGTCACGGCCATTTGAACGATTAATTAGGAGAGCGCCTTAACCCTACAAAGGCAGATACACACAGTGTGTACTAAATAACTGCTCCGTTGAGTTAAAGTTTCCTTATATGGCTTGTGTGAAACTCTATTCCTCAGACGATTTTAATTTAATGGCTTTTATCATTTTTGATAATAACAGTGTTTAATGCAAATGACTTTAATTTGAACCTAAATGACATTCTAGAATCTAGATTGTTATTTATAGCCTACCGCCACGCATTAACCCCATAAAGCCAGCCACTAAACCAACGAAAAATTTACATAAATTCAATTAATATAAAATGTAGAGCATTCGGTGTCACTTGGACACGTTTGTTTTATGCGTGTGTTTGTTCGTTTGTGCGTTTTCCCCTTCTTTTTTGGCACCTTCAGTATTTCTAAGGCAAATTGCAAAAGTTTTTCGCATGCTTTGGCGCTGGCTTCAATTAAGCGCAGACGTCCATAAATGGCCACGCACACAAACGCTGGCTGTTTTAATCTTTTTCGCTTTTTGCCCCTCTTGCAGTAGTCACTATGGGTAAGTATTGGTTACTTTTCTGGCGGTTACTGCTGCTGCTGCAGTTGTTCGCTGCCTATCAATTTTAACTCCCTGCTCCGCTGTCGCTGTCCGGGCAAAACAAATGATTACAAGCGAGTGTAACTTGAGCGGCAGCCGTCGTACGCATGTCCCCCTATATGTACCACAGTCAGTGCTCCCTATCACAAAATAAAATTAATAAAAAGACATTTAGAAAAAAGTTCAACCTCTTGCCATATTTCAAATCTGTTTTCCCGACTTAAAGGAATTGCTAAAGTGCAGCCTTTATGTATTTCGGAATCTTAGATTTTTTATTTTATTTTTTAAAAAAAGTAATATCAGTTTATTAAACATTTAATACTGCTACAAAATTCTTAACTTTATCTTTGATGTTAAAAGTTTAACTTTCTCAAAATTACAATAAACGTACGGTCCTTGATTAGAAGTCTTAACTAAAAGCTGTTGTTGGGAAACAGAAATAAACTACTAACTTTTTTAAGTTATATTTTTTTTTAATTTTAAGAATTAAATGTTGTAGTCGATATGACAAAATATGTTTGAAAATAGTTTTTTATTATGTAGGATGGCTTTCACGTTATTTCTAAACATATTGTATATTGCAATTGCATATTTTAGCTACGGACTTCAGAATAAAGTGCGATTTTTATTATCCATCCAGGACCGAGTCTATTTTCTAAAATTATTTCCTATTATTACATTTTAAATCTGGTATAGTCTTTCATTTATTAGGCTATTCGTTTTTCAACAGAGATGTATTTTTTTTAGTTTTAGGATATTGTTTCTTAGGTCTATTAGTTTGAGTGACTTTAAATGCCTCTTATTCGAGCTATACTGTGTGTTATAAATATATTTGAGCGCCTGGATATATGGAGGTTTTAATAGGAGTTGCATAAGCCGCATTGGCGCAGTGGTGGCCACCCAAAGAGATCATTGAGAGCAGCGACCGCGGTTGGTGGCCAATTTTGCAGGCCACTTTGTGGGTGCGTGTGAACTTTAACTCATAAATTTATGGGCGACCAATTTATGATTCGGCTAACTGGCTAGCTGGGCGTATGCGCAATCACTCCGTTCTGCTTCACAATTACATGCAAATTACGCATACGCCGCGTTGTCAACATTTTGACAACAAATCGCCCGACAGATCGTGGGAGCACACAGCGCCGATTCGAATCAAAAATTTCTGACAGACGGGACAGTTCCAAAGGCGTTTACCCGTCGCAGCGGCCGACAGACAGACAGCATGGAAAACATTTTAACATTTTTCGAAAACGCACCTTGTCGCCGGTCCGAAAAGAGCTACAAAAGAAAAGAATTCAATCTCGCCTTTGGGCCACCTTTCGCTTAACTTGGCTCGTAGGTGCAGCAGCCGCAAGCGTTATATAGCCATATATGGCGCCCCCGATCGTGTGTGCACGCAAAACGCATTTTCGCGATTTCGGCTACCTGCCAGCTTCCACCATTAAACCCCCTGGCTCCGCCGGCAAGAAAAGACAATGGAGTGGAAGTCAGGTCGGGCCAACAAGTTGATTTATGTGGGCGGCGGCGGAGGCGGCTATAGCCATCGAATGATATAGTTTTGAACATTCTGCAGCCGCACGACAACATTCACTTTCAATGGCGGAAAATGCGTTTTCCACGATCGCTAGATTAGCAGTGGTATTTATGCGTGCGCGCGGGGACTTCGACTTAAAATGCTTTGATGTATTAATCGCTGTTCGGTTCCGCTCTAGTTTTTGATAGATCGATCAAATTCGTAATTAATTGTGAGACGTCATATGATTTATTTGATTTAAAAGTGGTCTAACGATCGAGTTTTCGGACAGCTGTCCGCTATTATTATGTTTAAATATGTTATTTATTTTCTTTAATTTGTGTCTGAAGATTCGAGAAAAATGGTCTTGAGTAAACAAAATTAATTTATTTATTACTGACTAGTTTTTTGTCATTAAACTTAATTGTTCTCAAATTTCATCAACAGACCGAATCAGTTGAAAATATGATCAAAGGATCACTCCTTCACAAATTACACAGGCTGACAGATTGTCCCTATTTTACCAGCATTTTATTTTCTAATCATAATTTTAATTTAATTTTAATTTTTTAATTTTATTTCCTTTTTGGTGGAGTAGACACAGTTTGTGCCACTAGGGAGAACTTCAGTAAAAACTTTTTTAATTTTGTTTTAATTGTTTTAAATAAAAACATAAGAGAACGCTATAGTCGGGTGCCCCGACTATCAGATACCCGTTACTCAGCTAAAGGGAGTGCGAGGGAAATGGAGATATAAAACACAATAAAACTGCATTTTTACTTTTCCGAAATCTTTAAAGGTGTGAGCGCCAGACACCTTTAAATATCGTTTAGGGCGAATGTTGGCGTTAGAGGGGCGTGGCCCTCGGCTGAAACAAACTTGCGCTGCGAAGGAGGCCAAAGAATATGTGTGGGTAATCCCAACTTTCTAGCTTTAACAGTTTCCGAGATCTCAGCGTTCATACAGACGGACAGACGGACATGGCTAGATCGACTCGGCTAGCGATCCTAATCAAGAATATACTTTATATACCTTATAGGGTCGGAAATGCCTCCTTTTAGCTGTTACATACTTTTGCACGAATAAAATGTACCCTTTTACTCTACAAGCAACATGTATAATAAATCTTTCAAAAAAACAAAGGGCATAGGGGAACAAGCCTGGGAAAACTGCCCCAGGCGATATTGCAAAATTTTAGATGAGGATTGGTAGATAGGAACCTAATCGATAAGAATTCCAATTTTCAAATATTTTGATCCGCTGGTTTACGAGTAATCTGCCACAACTAAAGAACATATCACTTGATGTATCTTCCCTTCGGTGGTTCTTGAGAAAACTTTTTTGATGCCAATAATTTTTGTGTTAACCTTCAAGAATGTCAGCCAATCTTTGGATTTTTACCATTCTTATAAGCTACCAAAAATCGCGATTCAAATTTTCAAAAAATTGGTTCAAGACTTTCCAAGTCTGACAACACCGCCAGTTTTTTACAGTTTGTGTGTCCTATAACCATCTACTTCATATAAAATATTCATAATTTTTCGAGTGGTGCAACAGTGTTAAACAAACAAAAAACTGAAGAATTTATTTCTGGAAGGGTAGGAATGGAGTCAATAAAATATATTTGGCTTGTAAATAGTTAGTTCTTAGACCAAAATTATTATCAAAGAGTAAAGTTTTTAATATTATGGGTGAAAAGTGGTCCGAATTATAAAATGTTTGGCATGTATTTGCTTGTAATTGATTTAATAGGGACCCAGTCCCAGTCTAGTCCCCACAGCTTCGAATTTAATATCCTCCCTAGACAGAGATTTCATAAGAAATCCTTTGAGCATGGATGACCAACAAATACTTTATTTATGTGATTCTAAAGAATTCGCGGTCCAAAGAGGATTATTTAATATGCGAGATTTCGGCACCGTTGTTATTGCGCGAATTTGTTAACAATTTGTTATCGTGCTCCGCATATTAAAGCTTTCAAATTACTATCTTGCTTTTTAGAATAATAATGTATAAAATGTTATATAATGTATATAAAGTATATATGTTCAATAACAGGATTTAGCCTTGTCTGGCTGTCCGTTTGTCTGTCTGTATGAACACTGAGATCTCAAAAATCTATAAGGTTGGGATTACTCATGCAGATAATAATATTTATATTATAATTATTAGGATTCCTGCGCACCGCAGATTATTAGGATTCGTCACGGTTTCATGCCCACTCTAACGCCCACAAGCCGCAAAAGTTTGTGCCGAAAACATTTTTAAAGATTTTTTTAAAATTTATTTAATCTGATTTGCTAATTGCTGTAGGATGGACACACTTTTTCCCACCGTACCTATAAAAAGGCATCTATGTATAATATATTCCTAGCATGCATTCGAATTGCCTGCTCAATGGGATTATTTTTCCACCTTTTTTCACTGTGGCTCACTTACATATTGCGGGGCGTACTCCCTGGTTTCGTCATCGTCATCGGCGACCACGACAGGTGCACCGCCCCGAACCGCATCGATGGGCGGGGGGCGTGTCCCCAGGCAGATCAAAGCGAGCAGGATGGCTGTCCAAAGGGGCGGCGGCGGCGGCAAATTGGTCGTTATCTGCAAAAAGGCATTTAAGCGGAATATGAATGCGTTTTTATCAATTGAGCGCTTAATAAACGGAGCGATAAAACGAGTTAAGCAAACATACCACAAACAGTTAATAAATTGCCTACAAAATTATTACGCGAGCCCAAAAGGAAATTCGAGCAAAAAGCAAAAGGCAAAAGGCAGGGGCCAAAAAATTAATTGGACAACGAACGGAGGAGCGTGTTCGGAGATTGGCCGGGATCTCGATCGCGATCTCCCCAGACCATGTCATACACCGTTGTGACAGTTGTCAAATGGTAATGGCAAAATAGTAAATACACCTTGCCGTACGAAATCCAAAATTAGGCAGACAGATAGACACCGGGCACATTTGTATCGAGCATATGACAGCAAATGCCTGTCCGGCGAAAACTTTTGGAGATTGATGGCTTTGCCTAAGACCAGTAGCCAGTAGCCCAACCGAGCCTCGACTTCCATTTCGCGATGCAAACGGGTCTGGCAGGATGGCGGGCACCCGAACTCGCACTCTAGGCGTACAATTCAATTTTCCCAATTGCAATCGCCTCGCATTTGTTTCTTCGCAAATTGCAAAACATTTTTTGGACATTTTCGTTTTCGATTTTCTGCTCCGAGTTGCGAGATCGGCCCAGCCTCGATTGGCATGTGTCGCTGTTTGGGGAGGTATAGGTATCGCTTTGGGCCCGACGAGTTGGTTTAATTAGCACAGCCACGATGGCCATTCAATAGCGAATATTGCTGCCGGCAAGATTTGTCAAGAATGGCACGAATGGCATGCCAGCCGAAATGCAGCTGAACAAATGAGTCGAAATTCGTTTTGGCAAAGCTGTCATAGCTAAGTAAAATGTGTTAACAAATCTGCAAGGACTACGATCCATTGTTCAGGCGTGAAGACGAAAATCAAATGTGCTGTCCATAACGAAACAAAAAACATTTTCCCTAATAAGTCTCAATATAAATTTACAAAAACTTTATATGTTTTCATACTTTTAAGGTGTTTCATTCCTGTTTTAAGAGCAGTAAACTAAGTTTTATAAATAGAGCCATTAATTAATTTCCTTGATGTACCTATAATAGCTGAAGTTTAATTATATATTTGCTTGTTCGAAGTTTCTAAGTGAGTGAACTCGCACTCTAAAACTCAATTTTGTTAACATGACTTGTTTGACAATTCAAGTGAACTCGTGGCTCCACTTTAAACCTTAAACGACAAGCAATTGTAAGAAAACGGGTAAAAAACTATTTTTTAAAGCGAAAGAGGAACACAAGCGACAGTTTGGAAATGAAAAATGAACACAAATATTAAATTTCTCAATTCAACTCAAAGTAAATAAAATAAAAACAAGAGAGAACGCTATAGTCGGGTGCCCCGACTATCAGATACCCGTTACTCAGCTAAAGGGAGTGCGAAAGAGATGGAGAAAAACTTTGATCCGCCGTAACTTTTTAACGAATGGTCCGATTTAAAAAATTTCTTCTACATTTCGATAGGTATTGATAAACACAATAAAACTGCATTTTTACTTTTCCAAAATATTGAAATTTTTAAAATCGTATATATGCGATTGTGGGCGTTAGAGGGGGCGTGGCACCCTTTTGAAACAAACTTGCGCTGCGTAGGAACTCCTAGAATCTGCATGCAAAATGTCAATCTTCTAGCTTTTATAGTTTCCGAGATCTCAGCGTTCATACGGACAGACGGACAGACAGACAGACAGACAGACAGACAGACAGACGGACAGACGGACAGACGGACATGGCTAGATCGACTCGGCTAGTGATCCTGATCAAGAATATATATACTTTATGGGGTCGGAAACGCTTCCTTCTACCTGTTACATACTTTTGCACGAATACAATATACCCTTTTACTCTACGAGTAACGGGTATAATAAACCATCTGTGTAACAGAAAAGTAAAATGAATCACAACTATCGTCTATAACTTTCAACTGTATTTTGTCACTCAATTTATGTTGCAATTTATATTATTATAAAAATTTGTAAGCATAACACGAAAACAATTTTAAGATCTCATCAGATTAACATGCTTTAGCAAAAAGCTCCTGTTTCGGGCGCTTTACAATAAAAAGTGTAATTCCATTATTACATTAATGTATTTCCTTAAGGATCTTCTAGTGATCATTATTACATTCTAAACTTATTCTGACGTGTCCATTGAATACTTTCATTGAACTTTATTGAAATGTTTTTATTATTGCACAGAAGGTGGATTTGCATTCCTGTTCATTTCCTACACTTTCACTTAAAGTGAAAGTTGGCTTTTTTTTAACTTTCGCTCTCGATTTCGATTTCCAATTCCCAAAAAATGTGGCTCAGTCAACAGCAAATGCAAAGCTGATTTCAGTTATTGCCATTTTGTTCAACACTTACATAGAACCGCATGGCGTTTTTAAAATTCAATTGATTCTACGGAAAACACGTCACTAAGCACTGAGCGTTTTTAGACGCTGACAAAACGCGCTGCTGTCGCTCCTCTTCGATTCGATGCCGTGGTCTCAATGTCAAGGACAAAAACGTAATTAAACTGTTGGCGCGGCTTTGCCAAAGTATTTATAGATGAAGACGAGGACCGGCACAGAGCTCAGCTTCGGTTTCGATTCGCTTCGTTTTCCCGGCGACAAGATTTTCCGGCTTCACCGGTTCCACTTCCAACGTCCAACATCCAACTTCCAAGCCGCCAGACGCAACCGACTGCGATGAGCAACACATTGCAGATTGCACATTGCAGATTGCAGCTGCTTTGTCGCTTCCTAAGCTCGCTCTAATTGACAATTATTCGCCGATGGGAGAGCTCCCCACACCGAAACCCGTTTGGCCAACGATACTGCCAAACTATCCATGCAACCCATACTCCCCGATTTGGGCGGCCAACTTTTGGTTTCAGGCGCCGACGTGCGGCAAGTAAAAGTCGTCGTCGACGCTTCGCTGCAGCTGTCTAATGGCATTATAAAATTTATACCTGCCAGCGTTACGTTTCGACTTTACATAAATTAATGGCGATTTGCTCTGCGAATGTGTCGTGTCTCCGCTTTGGCAGTTAATCCTGGTAATCCGTATTAAAATCAAGTGCTGGAGACCAAACAAGCAGCGGCGCTACAAATTGTCGAGCTTGGGAAAATTTTGCAGAGCCATATGTTTTAGACGGCCGACTCCTCGCAATTCTCACGATTTTAAGTAACAAAAAGCTTTTTTTAAAACCTACTTTGAACCCTCACTACCCAAATCTAATAGTGTGCTTAGACTGGGCGCATCATTGACATGCGACGAAACGTAAAAGGCTCTGATTTTTTCCCACAGAGGATTCCTATGATAGAAGAATAGAAGAAGATAACATTTTTTCGAATGTGCGTCGAAGGTTCTAAAATTTACTAGTAAATGTAAAGGAATACATAAGTACCGTCCGACTTTTATGTCAGTTTTCTATAAATGATTTACGGACGCATAATTTTTGAATATTCAAAAATGATTACAGTAGTCTAATCACACTATAAGGCATTTTAATGAAGTCTTCGTGCTCTATTTAGAGCTAGATCTCAGATTTTACCCTTCTCTAAAAGAATACAAAGTCAAACCTTTTCGGTTATAAAAAGTTTTGCTTATGTATTTCAATAAAAGTATACGTTAAGATAAGATAATTACTACATGTGTAAAAAGCTTGCTTTAGTCAGGTAAATTTGTTGCATTGTTAAATAATATTTTCAGATCGTTTTCGTCGGGCAAAACCACATCATTGTTCCTGGAATCAGTGCAGTTGCTTCACGCTGACGTAGCTGCTGGCGTGGCCTCCGTATCCATGTCCATGTCCGTATCCGCCGTAGTGCGCCACATCGTGACCGTAACCGTAGTCGGCTCCGTAGACATCGCCGTGCCCGTAGCCCTTGTGGTAAACCTGGGGGTGGTGGGCGTGGCCCAGTTTCTTCACCACAGCATTGAAGCCATTGTGGTCATCGGCGGTGTATTCCACCACCCGAGTGGTGCCGTCCGATTCCTTGAGAGAGTAGCTGCCCTTGACCTTGTCGCCGTCTCGGGTTTCCCACTGGCTCTTTTGGTCGCCGGTGTGGGCATCCTTGACACCATAGTCGAAGTGATACTTGGGATAGTGGTGGGGCTCGTGCTTGTCGTATCCATAGCCATAGCCGGAGTAACCGACACTGGGATAACCATGTCCGTAGCTTCCTCCGTAGGCACTGATCACATCGTGATCGTATCCGTATCCATGGCTCTTGTGGATGGGTTCCTCGTGCTTGGTCACCGAAGCGTAGCTGGTAGCATGTCCTCCGTGAGGAGCAGCTAAGCTGCTGCCCACCACAAAGGCAAGTAACAGACCTCCGCAAAAGAATTTCATATCGAACACGTAATCGCTGTTTTCCAATCGGAGCTTTGATGATGTCTGCTGGTTCTTAGGGGGCTCACTTAGACTTTATATAGCTCTCGAAAACTCAGGGCAATCAACCATCGGGTGGTCATTCTCTTGGCCACTCCATTCACCATTCGTGCTAGCTGATTTGTTAATTACCTCAATAATTCGTAATTATTATTATTGTTGTGGCCATTGAGCTCTATAGAAAATCGAACAGATTTTATATCAAACCAAATCCGTTACAATTCAGTTTTGCTGAAAATAATTAATTATAACTGAATCAAATCGTTTTTGTAACATCGTTAACCTCTCCTTAAGTTTGGGTGTAGTTAAAGAGAAGGGAAAAACTAAGTTAAGAATTTATTTCTTAATTAACAAACTCGTGCTTTGATCGAGAATTTCAAATTATGAACACATAAACTTGTGTCTTAAGAAAATGAGGAAATGTTTTATGTGAAAACTATGCAAGAAGGCCATTGAAAATAAATTGTATTTCGTTAAGGGCATTGATAGGTTTGTTTTAAAAAGTAATGGACGAATGTTGGCTACTTTTCTGGACTTATTTTAAAAAGTCATGACAATCTCGAAAGTCTATAGCTTCATAACATCGTATGAATTGAAAATAATTGAAAACATACATGTTTAAAGAAAATCATATCTACAAAGAATGTATACATTACATATTATGTAATGAAGATTCGACTTTACATTTTCAGGAAATATTTTAAAGAATAACAAAATCAACAATAGAGCACGGGTGCCCTGACTATCAGATACCCGTTACTCAAGTAAATAAAGTGCGAGGGAGATGAAGATATAAGACTTTGATGGCGCATAACTTTTTAACGATTGTTCCGATTTGAATAATTGTTTCTACATTTTGATAGGTATTAATAAACACAATAAACACAACCCAAAACTGCATTTTAATTTTCCGAAATCTTTAAAGGTGTGCCCGCCAGACACCTTTACAAATCGTTTAAGGCGGTTGTGGGCGTTAGAGGGGGCGTGGGCCTCAGATGAAACAAACTTGAGCTGCGTAGTAGGCCCAAGAATATGTGTGGGTAATCCCAACTTTCGAGCTTTTGTAGTTTCCGAGATCTTAGCGTTCAAACGGATAGACAGACAGGCAGTCAGACAGACGGACATGGCTAGATCGACTCGGCTGGTGACCCTGATCAAGAATATATATAGTTTATAGGGTCGGAAATGCTTCCTTCTAGCTGTTACATACTTATGCCCGCATACATTACATTACATTACTCTACGAATAACGGGTTTAAAAATAAATGGTATAAAAGGGAAGGTTTTCTCCTTAAGCAAACTATAGTTAAATGGTCTTTCCTGTATTAAAGAGGAGTAAATGTCTTACACAAATTTGTATTTAAGTCTACACTTTGACTTAAGCTTGTACAAAATTAACATATTTAACAATATTTATATTTAAGTTATAAGTCCCAAGTTAAAAGTGCTGTCATCTATTAAAATCTATAAACAATTTTGTAATATTTGTTTGGCTTGTACTTTTCATCAAAAAAGCCTTTAACCTTGTTAATTATAAATATTTAGAAAACATTAACCGCTCTTTAGTGAGTTAAAACCAATTCGGAAGCTTTGGGTGCCCCACCGCAGACCCCCTGGGCTGAAACACCGACCGTTTCGGCTGTCCGCCCAGCGCTGCCTCCACCATCCCCTTCTCCCTTATCTTCAAGGTCATGCGGCGCGAAGTCGGCAAAGAAGAGGGGCGAACCAAAGAAACGCAGCGAGGCGAGGCGGCTATTGCTAAGTAATTTGAAAGCGGGCCACACTTGTTGATTGATTTCTAAGCAACAAAAACACCAAGCGTTGCGTTTTTCAGCTAGTAGAGCGATGTTTACGCCCCGTTTATCGATGTTGTTGTTGCTGCCCAAGCTTAGCTTGCGAACCACATTTAATTTGCCAATCGACCGACCGAGATTATGAATACGAATGAGGAAAAATGAAAATTTGCACAAAAATTCGAAGCATTTTTCATACCTATTTTTTGGGACTCTTACTTTTTTCTAGCCTATTTAGCCTCGAGGGTAAAATGCTTTTAATCGATCCGCAGAATGAGCAGAAGTATAAAAGCACTGGGCATTGTCTACTGACTATCACAGTTCCAATTGCGATTTAGGCCAAGCAAGTCCATTAGAAACAAACTAAAATGGCTCAGAAACTTACCATCCTCTGCTGCGCCCTCTTGGGTGTGGCTGCTGCCAGTTATATCCCTTACGGTGGATATGACCACGGACACGGAGTGGGATATAGCATCCAGACGCACCACGAGGCTCCCAAGAAATGGCATGATCACCACCAGGATCACCATCAATGGGCAGTTCAGGATCATCACCACCAGCAGTGGGCGCCAGTGGCTTCGCACGACAGCCACCAGCAGTGGAGTCACCACGAGGAGCCCAAACACCACCCTAAGTACGAATTCGACTACGGGGTGAAGGACACCAAGACCGGAGACATCAAGCAGCAGTGGGAGTCCCGAGACGGGGACAAGGTCAAGGGAGGCTACACCATGAAGGAGGCCGATGGTCGTACCCGGATCGTTGAGTACACCGCCGACTCTCACAACGGATTCCAGGCAACCGTGAAGCACGTTGGACATGCGGATCACTTCGAGCACAGCCACGGACATGAACACGAGTACGGACATGGACATGGACATGCCACCAGCTACGCGGAAGTGAAACAGGACACCAGCAGCAAGTGGGAAGACAAGAGCAGCAAGTGGTGGTAAAGGAGCTGACCCAACTGATTGTGCAACTGATTCGGACTAACTAAATTATTGTAAATAGAAAAGAGAAAATCATAAAAAATAGTTGTAAGCTAATAAATTGAAGCATAGTGCAAAAAATGCGAAATATATAAAATCGATTAAATTTAGTTTTCTTTCCAAATTTATCTATTTAATCACCCAGAAAATTGTGAATAATTTCGTTTAAATCACTGGTGGCGGCAATCTACGCAGCGTGCCGACTCTTGCTTCGTCGGTAAAGGGAGTGAGTTTCAAATTTGATCGACAGTGTTACTTGCTCGCATATTTGTTTCATTTATTTATTTATTACCTTAAAATTAGCAAATATCTGCCAAAATAAACATAGGACCCACCTCATATAAAGTGGAAGGGTGCAAGGACAGGTAAGTTAGGATGTTTGTTACAAAGTAATTAACAGAGCAAAATATCAAAAATTACAGTTAATTATATTGCGAACATAAAACGCGAAATGGATCATGTAACTGAAAGTTCGTTTTACAAATATCGAGGGCAATAGGTCGAAAGTGCCAAGTAGATCTTACAGGGATGGAAAACCGAATTTGACCAAGAAGATAGCTTGAATTTAATTTGTGCAGGAACATAACACCATGGCAGGTCCGACGATCCTTGAGTGAGGGCAGGTTAAATTAAGGAGAAAAAAGTATTTTAAAGTATATACTTAAAAACACGACGGTATTTTGTTTGTTAAGGCTCAACATTGAATTTTGTTTCACTTTAATCGCTGTAAAAGTTAGACCTTTTCTTTCCCCTTAATTTATATGAGTCAACCACACATTTTCCATAATTTGTTTTTCATAATTATACCATTGTAGAGGGTATTATAATTTCAGTCAGATGTTTGCAACGCAGAGAAGGAGACGTTTCCGACCACATAAATTATATATATTCTTGATCAGCACCAATAGCCGAGTCTATCTAGCCATGTCCGTCTGTCCTTCTGTCCGTTTCTATGCGAACTAGTCTCTCAGTTTTAAAGCTATCGCGATGAAACTTTCCCAAAAGTCTTCTTTCTATTGCAGGTAGTACATATGTCGGAGCAAGCCGGATCGGACCACTATATCTTAAGGCTCCCATAGGAATATTTATAGAAATATAAGAAAATTCATTGTAACTTTGTAGGAAGTAGGGGTTTTGATTCTTGACTACTTAAAAACAAAATTTAAATAAATAGAAACGCTGAGTCTGGAATCCCTGGGACTGCACCGAGTGAGCATTCTTTTATCTGCAAGGGTATATAAGCTTCGGCTGGTCGAAGGTAGCTTCCTTTCTTGTTATACCCTTGCAGAGGGTATTATGATTTCAGTCAGAAGTTTGCAACGCAGTGAAGGAGACGTTTCCGACCCCATAAAGTATATATATTCTTGATCAGGATCACTAGCCGAGTCGATCTAGCCATGTCCGTCTGTCCGTCTGTCCGTCTGTCCGTCTGTCCGTCTGTCCGTCTGTCCGTCCGTCTGTCCGTCTGTCTGTTTCTACGCAAACTAGTCTCTCAGTTTTTGAGCTATCGGGACGAAACTTTCGCAAAAGTCTTCTTTCTATTGCAGGTAGTATATATGTCGGAGCCGACCGGATCGGACAACTATATCTTATAGCTCCCATAGGAAGGATCGGAAAAAAAAACTTTAAAAAATTCTAGCTTCGGTGTTTTTTGAAATATTACCTTCTACTTTTGGGGATGTTATTATACCCGTTACTCGTAGAGTAAAAGGGTATACTAGATTCGTGCAAAAGTATGTAACAGGTAGAAGGAAGCGTTTCCGACCCTATAAACTATATATATTCTTGATCAGGATCACTAGCCGAGTCGATCTAGCCATGTCCGTCTGTCCGTCTGTCCGTCTGTCCGTCTGTCCGTCTGTCTGTCCGTCTGTCTGTCTGTATGAACGCTGAGATCTCGGAAACTATAAAAGCTAGAAGATTGACATTTTGCATGCAGATTCTAGGAGTTCCTACGCAGCGCAAGTTTGTTTCAAAAGGGTGCCACGCCCCCTCTAACGCCCACAGTCGCTTATATACAATTTTAAAAATTTCAATATTTCGGAAAAGTAAAAATGCAGTTTAATGGTGTTTATCAATACCTATCGAAATGTAAAAGAAATTTTTTAAATCGGACCATTCGTTAAAAAGTTACGGCGAATCAAAGTTTTTATCTTCATCTCCTTCGCAATTTCTTTAGCTGAGTAACGGGTATCTGATAGTCG